TCCTGACTGATTTGAAACTTCCATTCACATTTCTATTTTATATAATTAAAAATTCATTAACTGTGCTGCTCAGTGGTTATGTTCGGTATAAACCAGAAGAAACTTACTCTTTGAATTTACATATTAATATGAGAACCTCGGAACTACCAAAACTCTAGTGGCAAAATTTTCATATTTATTGTTGGTTGTTTATTATTGGCAACACTCTCACATCAAAAAAATCATTTCAATTTCTTTAAATGAAATGGTTTGTTGGAGAAGGGAAGTAGATCTTTAAATCATTAGTAATCATTCTCTCCTATATTCTGATTCGTTATGCAATAAGAACATTCATTAAAGAGGTTAATCTTCTATAGCACGGTAACAATAACAGACTGTTAACATTACTTAATGAAAAAATTATAAATTTACTTACTTATTTTAATGCACAATTCGCCATTCCATCAGTTTAAATTCATTTTACTGTAGAAAAACATCAAAAAATAAAATTATTTTTTTTATGAATACAATGTTCCCCTATATACGAGTATACTTACAACGCTTGCATAATTTTTACATGCCATTTATGTTATATAATTGTAACATTAACATTTCTATGAAGTTTAATTCTTTCCAATAAATTTTGCCGTATCAGAAGAAACAGCAGCCATTGGTTAAAAAAAAAATTAAACAAATAAAAACATTTCAGTCGGTATAAACCGATTGAATAATACCGTGCACCTTTCATTGTGGTATAGCAATTGCTCGAAATTAGCTCTTGGACCTCTGTAGCAGTTACCCGAACCTGACAAGCATTTCAACCAAAACTTCAAGAATATATTTGACCTATAATTGGACACACAATTGCCAAGTTTCATGAATCTGTCTTTATTATTTTTCCAAATATAAAAAATTTGCTTTTGGAGTTGTATGGCAGCCATCCCATTAATATTTTCGGAGCATATGTAGAATGTAATTGTGTATGTAATAAATGGACACACTTTTACAAAATTTAATATTAATACCTCTATTAGTTTTCCTAATATTTAAAATAAACTCTTTGAGTTGTATGGCAGCTACCCGAACCCGTTGTCCGAATCAGTCCAATTACAATAGGGTTCGTTCTTGGCACAAAAAAAACAGCTTGTGAAAGTTTGGTGTCGATTGCATTATTCGTTTTTGAGTTGTCGTGCGATCGGACGGACGGTCATGTCTAAATCAACGCAGAATTTTACGCTGAGCAAGAATATATATATATATATGTCCATACCGCAGATGACTCTTTCAAGTAGTTACAGACTTCATACCAAAGTTAACATACTCTTCACGAAGTGCAGGGTATAAAAAATTAAATATTCTCTTTTATACACAAAAAATTTTTTACTCAAAAAGTGACGGGTAAGTAGAATTGGAAGGAGTACAAAATATGCTCTAAAAATATGAAAAAAATACTCTTTTTTAGCTCTTTTACAAAAATTATTATTAAAAGAAAAAACTTTTACCTTAAAAACTCTACAATCATTTACAAAATATTAAAAAGTTTTTTTTTTGAATTCGCTGATAAGTTTATCATAATATTATTTCAATTAAATTATATTAATGTCACAACTTATTTGAAATTTTCCGACAACTATAAATAGTTTTGATTCTCTTGAAAAGTACAACATGTTGTTTTAAATACAGGGTCTCTTTAAATAAAAATTATTTTTGTTAGAATTGATTTATGTGATTATTAATACTTGAACTGAGCTGTTTAAGTCCCCGAATCTCTATTCTCCATATGGTCGTGATTAACAGCAATTGAAAGAAAAATTTAAATGAATATTTTATTATTTTGGTCAGGGTTGCCAAAGATTTGAAAAAAATTTGGTCTTTTGCTTGTATTTAAAATGTGTAAGTGTTTTATTTTTATTGTCTACTTGTTTATTTTCCTATAAATTTACAAAACTAAGACAGCAGTAGTTTTGTAAACACTTACATTACCAATTAATAGACCAAATTAGGTTTATGTCGGCTCACGCAAGGAATCTATTAAAAAAATAATGTGATGATTTCTTACTTATTAATACTTTGACAATATTATTCATTTAATTTTAGACCCATAATTACCCAATTTTAATTGAATTTAATTAATGGTGAATAATTTACATTTTCAATTTATAAAATTTTAATGAAACAGTACAATATGCTACTTTTATAACATGGTGGTAAATGGTCGTAAATTCTTGTAGTTAACTTGAATTATGTAGAGAATTTTGATCACTCATTGTCGTACTCATATTTTTAAGAATACCAAATAGTTTTGAATTATATCAAGAGATTAATTAAAGAGATTTTTAATTTTTAATTGAAAACAGTGCTCAAATAAAATTATTTCTGCTTGATATCGCATTTTATATGATTTTTACTATTTTGAGGCCATTAAGGTTTCTTTGTTGCGAAATTTCGATTTATTTAAAAAATAAAAATACGACTAATACTAATTATTTAGTGGGGATTTCCTGCATACTGATAAAAATTATAATAAAGCCCAATTAAAAAAAAAATTACTTTTGGTGACTTATTAATTTAGAATTTCAGAAAATGTGTAAGACTGAATAGGAAATGAAAGTAAATTCCTTTAAAAGTAATTTTACTCGATTCTAACTTTCAACACAATCGCGTTAATTTCGTCAATAATTCCAATTTTTATTTGAGGTATAAACTGAATTCGATGAATGAGGACTGATATGTTTTGTTCTATAAATTAAGCTATAAATAAAATTTTAATATTTAAAGATTAAAAATACTATAATTACTTTTAAACTGTAAAAGTAAAATACGAGTAACAAACTTTATTTAACTATCATTAATAACTATTAGAAAACATTTGTTTTATGTACAACTCGTACGACAATAAAAAATGAATTAAATTATGCACATACATATGTACATATATGTATAAGTATAACAATATTTTTATATAGAAAAATATCTTACCCCTATTATAACTGGTACACTATATGATTCTGCAATGACAGTAAATGTGGTTGAATTATGAAAAGTTTTCAGGTGAAAAGACCAGGTGAATGAAATTAAATAAAAGACTACTTACTTATTTTTGATTTTTTTGTTATTCTTTTTCTTCTTACTTATTTGATTTTGACTTTGTGAACTGTAACAAATTAGGTAAACTTTTGAGTTCATGATTTTAGAATTTTTTTTGTATATTTTTCTAACCTGTTCCTATATTGCATTTTTTCGTCTCGATTTTTTTTTTTGCTTTTAGGTTTTATAGGAATATAAGTTGGTTTCTTTGTTCATTTTTCCTCTCTGGCTCTTACAATGCAAAAAAACCATTTTTTTTTTGTCATAAAAAATAAATAAAAGAAGTAGAAAATTATAACGCTGATGAAAAGTAATGAATTTAATTGCATAAAAGTTGAAGAGTATTCAACTCAAGTGGCATATGGGAAAACTTTTTTCCGTATTATGGTGGTCTTTTATTTTCGTTTTTCCTTTTTTTTTTTTTAAATATACATATTTGTGAAATAAAACTAGTTATTATGTGTATATGGAATGAATTGCGGTGAGGAAAAGTGAAGAAAAGTGAAATCGCATAGAGTGAAAGAAAATCAACCTAAAAAGGAAATTAAGAGAAATAAAATCAAAAAGGCACTTATTTTTTTTTTGTTTTTGTTTCTGCATACATTATGAGCGTTCCAAAAACACATAAAACTTTTCAAATGTACAAATATTGGGAAGATGGGGATGAGGAAAAGAAGGATTTTTAATTTTTTTTTGTTTTTCCAGAATTGAAAAGTAAAAGAAAAAGAATTGAAAATTATTTTTTCTCGCAAAATAAAAATTTAATAATGAAAAAGTATGGGAGGTCATTAAACTTTTTTTTTAAATTTATATGGTAAATAGCAGGATAACAATGAATTTTTATTGTATAAAAAGTTTTTTCGTTTTAAAGAGCATGGCAATTAAAAGTTAAATAAAATTAACACTTTATCGGCGGAACACATTTTCTGCTGCTTGTTTTTTTTGCTTTTTTGGTTCTTTTGTTGTAAGTTAAAAGTTAACAAATTTTGTTTGTGGAAAAATTTGTAAAGTTAAACGCATACATGTTTAGCTTTAAATTGAATATTACTTAATCACCATAAAATTGATATTATTGAATTTACTACTAAAATTGAATTTAAAAGCTTTGGTTGCGATTTCAAAATTTTGAAAAATTAAATCAAAAATATTGGGGAATTGCTAGTGAAATCGATTCCGTACTGGAACTGGCTTACTTTTTTCATAATAACTCGATAAAAGCTAATTGTGAATCTTAAATTGTTGAAGTGAACGCAGAAATAAACTTTTATTTCTAGTTGAAGCCTCTAGTAGTTTAATTGAAAAAAAGAAAAATTTTCCCGTTTTGGAGAGAGGGAAGGTGCCGTAAAAATCTAATTCATTATATCAATACTGCTAAAAAAAACCAAATTTTCATTGGTTCAAAGCTTTGGTTGTGAATTTAAACCAATATTGATTCGCGAACATCACAAAACTTTCACAAAACTTTTCTTTCCGCGAACCTTCTTATTCTTCTTCTTCTTTACATGTTCAACCCTTATTGTCTTATTTACAGACTCGTTCAAAGATCACCTGTGAAAATTGCTTTTATTTTTAAAACAAATTCTCTTTATTCTAATTCTCTTAAGTTTTACTAATTTCTATGTTTACATTAATAATTTTAAAATTTCTTTTACAAATTGCTTAGGTTGAGTACTTTTATTGCCTGTATCTGTGAAGATTATTCACTTATAGGTAAAATGCTCTGATCACTTAAAGAGAACTTGCGTTGCGGATCATGTGTTTTTTCACTAATTCACTTTTATAATCTTGTTCTTTTAGAAATTTTTGAATTTTAAAAATTTCTTAATATGAAACTGTCCCAAAAAATATAATTATTATAGCTTAAATTTTTGTTTCAAGTCTTAAAATATAATTTGATTTTTTTTTTATTAATTTATTTTATTTCTTATATTTAGGTCATCATGCTGGTTGTGGTATAACAGATGAAGTATCCCAATGGATGGAAAATATTCAAAATTCAGCTGTATGGGATGATGAAACAGCATTACCAGAAGAGTTGCCAACACCTATTAGTGGAATTGATCAACCAAAACAAAATGAACATCATAAATTAAAAATAAATGACCATCAAATGCCTGATATAATTTTAAAACCAGAAAAACGTAGTGGCAATATTAATAATAATAATAACAATAATAATAATTATCCTTCAGAAAAATATAATGTAAATTTTGAATTACCATATCAAATTTACTCAAAGGAAGCAAATTATCGTAATGAAAAATTTAATGAAAATAATTTGAAAGCAAATAGTGATAATATAGAAAAAAGAAAAGATAATCATAATAAAAAAGAATCAAAAAATTATTTAAATAGTTCATATTATGAAACGATAACCGAAGATTGGCATAAAAAAGCACATGAACGTGTCCGGAGAGCCACAACTACAAATAGTCGTTCAAGAGAAGATAATAAAAATACATGTTCTCTTTATATTCAAACAGATCCATTAATATGGCGGCATATTAGAGAAGGAATAGCTGATGTAAGTTATTTTTTTAATTATTACAATTAAAATTGCTTATTTATAGAATTAATGATATTTATTCATTAAGATCCTTTGTTTTGGAAATAAGAACTCTAACTCAGTTTTACTTCGTAGGTTTATTTTTATACGTTCTTAGTATACTTACTGTTTTTAAATTCTCCTCCACAACTAAAATGCCAATTAAAGCTTAAGTTATTTATTAGTCATGTAATAAATATCACTCTGATTATTTCTGCAATATATATAATTATATCTGTAATTAATTATAGTTTAAACTGTTGATATGCAATATAAACACAAATCTGCATATGGGCTTTCCTTACATTACGTATGACAGCAATAATTGCTTATTATAAAAAAAATCTTAGCTCATATTTTAACTCAAAACTAAATGTTTTTTATATAAAATTCCATAGGTGTTGTAGATTGTAAATTTTTGTAGATGATTTGGGAATGGTATATGGACAAAGATACATTTTACCTCTCAGCAGCCAATCATGGGTCATTTTAGCTCTCCCATATCCCATTTATACTATATACCGATCCGAAGTGAATACAAATAGATACTCCTCAAGAAGTTTTTATTTGAATATGAGCCCCCAAATACTAAAAAAGCCCCGTCCAAACGATTTGTTCGTCTTAACAGAAAACATAATTCGGATGTAATTCATACTATTCAAAATTTCGGATTTGAATTCCTATCATATACAGTTAACGTAACCATATTCTCCAAACCATATTCAAATCAAAACTCATGGTAATTAACACCATATCCGTTTGTTATCAAAATTTTAAGTAGTTTTACAAATCTATTATATAACATTGCTTCCTTCGAAAACATACGCTCTCCTATTTCAATTGCATTTCACATCTTCATTTCCAGAACAACTGAGTTTCATCCGATTCCTTCTAAAATTTTACCAAATATACTTTAAAACCTGATTAATCAACTATACAAAATTTTCATAAAAAGCGGAAAGTATGCCAGTTGACATCGTTCACAGCTTCACACTAATAGCTCCATGTGATTGAACAAAAATATTAAAGTTTTCTTCAACAATTATCATTTAAATTCATATTTTGTGAATTCATAAGTCATACCATAGCACGTATAATGACAATTACAAAAATTACCAATACTCCAAAAAAAAAACAAAACAAGAAATTATAAAAAATTCTTATCTTGTAATCAGGATAATCAAAAAAATTAAATTTTATTCAAATAATAACAATTTTTTCTTATTGTTATTATTATTTCACAGTATTATGAATTAAAATTATTGATGATTTTGTATGTATGTATATGTACGTATACTAGGACAAAATGAGAATATAAAATTAATAAATTGAAATAATAAATAAATCAGTTCAATAAACTTTAAATGAAAATTATGATAATTGTATAGTTATCAGCGGGAAATTCAACATAGAATAGAAGAATAGAAATAATAATTTTTACTAATGAGAATATTATTTTACTGTTGTTGGAAAAAAAAAATATCGTGATTGTAATTTTAATATTAGAAATAATTTTTTTTTTTTTTGGGTCCATCTCATTTTTGTATTTACATACATAAAAGATAATTGAAGAACGAATAGAATTTAATTGGAAAATTTTTCTCGACCTTCAAAATTAGTTACAAATTTTTTAGGAGAATTTTACGTAGGTGAAACTACAGTTGAAATTGCAGAAGTAAATTTCGACTGCGGCAGTTTTTTTCCAAAAAAATTTTGAAAAAGATCTAATGTGTAATAGCTTAACGTCATTCAAGTTCGTTTGGTCTATAAATTGCTCTAAAATATGAACTCAAAATACACAGTGTGTTCACATTTTCATAAAATTTAAAATGTTGATAATTTGTTTGTAAAATATGTTTAATTTTTTCAACAGAATTACTAAAAAATTTTTAGAGTATCAGAAAAACAATAGTAGTTCTAGTCATTTTAGAAGTGCAAACTTGGGTCATATATGTTCGTAGAATGCATTGAATATTGAATAATATCCCGTTGTACTTTAGTAACACACAGCAAACGCATTTGCATTGTATTATAGAGATATTGGAAGTTGTTTCACATCAAAACCCGATTTATTTCATAACTCTTCCCGTGAAATATCCAACTGCTAACTTTAACTTTAAAGCAGGGTTTTATTTTCATTCCCTAAAATTGTCCTAGAATTATTCGATTTCAACTATATTGTTGTATTCTTTATCGTGCGGCAACTGTCACCATCTTATTGAAGGATAATTATTCTATTATACTATAAAAGACAGAAGTAAATATTCGTTTAAAATATTTTGGCTAGAACAATATCTCCACACCATTACACTAGTAGCAAATTTCAAAATTTGAATTTTATAATCAAGATATGGTATGGTTCCTTTGTATATTTGGTTATTCTGCCTTCGCTTCATAAAAACATAAAATTTTGTTTCCCTATACTGTATACACAACTAAAAATAGACATAAGACAAATGGAATTCTGTTTTGCTTTTTGAGAAGGCAAAATTTTGATTTTGACCCTTTCTATTACATTTTCAATACATATCGGGAAAATAAAATCAAAAAAAATATAACAATGGTTCCATTTCGTTGAATTGTAATTAAACATGAATAAAAATTTTTCATGTTTACTATGGAGAGGTCAACAACTGATCTTAATTAGTTAGAAATTCTAATCAGCTTTTGTTTTCAAATTTAGAAAAATTTTTTAAAATTTTTATAATTTCATGTACCTACGTGGAAAACAAAATTATTTTTTGGTTTTTTTTTTTGATAAAATTCAATACATATAACGATTTTATTGTGTAATTTAATAAGTTCTGCAATTTTTAATTCTGATATATTGAGTAAAAATATTGTAATTCCATTTAATTGTAACAGTTATCAAAAATATTGCATTAACATAATGATAAGAGCATAAACAGGGATAGCTTAGAGTACGTGTATATGCGTAAATAGCCCTGCAATGTAATAGAAGTATTTACGGTAAAAAATTGTTTTAATATTTTAAAGTTAACTAGTTATATGGTCTATTTTGAATATTAAAGAAAACTAACAATGTATTTCAATTTCTCGGTCATCGTGCACTAATTCTTAGAGTACATATCTTATTGAAACCATTTAATCAACTTTTTACTTGAAAAAACTGAAAGGATCTCAAGCATATAGTGAAAAATCAATTACCTATTTCTAAATTTTTACCATTATAAATGCTTCTTTATTTCAATTAATCTTAATTTTAATTTACTTATAGCATGATCGAGGAAGAAAATCAGAAATTGATGAGAAAACTAGAGAAGAAATTTTATCTTTAATAGCACATCACGTCACTGCCGTAAATTATATTTATCGAAATACAAAATTTGATGGAAGAACTGAACATAGAAACATTAGGTTTGAGGTAAAACATCATTCACATAAAATTAATTCCGATTTGTTCAATCTAATGCTTAACACTTTTTTTTTTGTAAAATCGATAAATTAAGGTCCAACGTATCAAAATTGATGATGATTCAGCATGTCGGCCATCTTATAATGGTCCGCACAATTCTTTTTGTAATGAACATATGGATGTGTCAAATTTTTTAAATCTTCATTCACTAGAAGATCATGGAGACTTTTGTTTAGCTTATGTTTTTACATATAGGTAAGAAAAAAAAACATTGGAATAAATCAACATTAATTTGAATAAAAACAAAATTTTAATTTTGAAAAAATTCCTTCTTTTATAGGGATTTTACTGGTGGAACTTTAGGATTAGCATGGGTTGCATCAGCATCTGGTGCATCAGGTGGTATATGTGAAAAATATAAAACATATACGGAAACCGTTGGAGGACAATATCAAAGCACAAAACGTTCTCTTAATACGGGAATAATAACATTTGTTAACTATAATAGTAGAGTACCACCTAAAGTATCACAATTAACTTTAGCACATGAAATCGGTCATAATTTTGGATCACCAGTAAGTTCTTAACACAAATTTAATTACGTTTGAAAATTTTTAATTTTTAATATAATTTTAATTTTTAGCATGATTATCCACAAGAATGCCGTCCTGGTGGATTAGCTGGTAATTTTATAATGTTTGCTAGTGCAACTAGTGGCGATCGTCCAAATAATAGTAAATTTTCACCATGTTCCATACGAAATATTTCGAATGTTTTAGACGTTTTAGTTGGAAATCAAAAACGTGATTGTTTCAAAGCATCCGAAGGTGCATTCTGTGGTAATAAAATTGTCGAATCTGGAGAAGAATGTGATTGTGGATTTAATGAAGATGAATGTAAAGATAAATGTTGTTATCCACGTTTAATTAGTGAATATGATTTAAGTTTAAATGCATCAGCTAAAGGATGTGCTCGACGTGCTAAAACTCAATGTAGTCCTAGCCAGGGACCATGTTGTTTAAGTGATTCATGTACTTTTGTACCACAACATTACCATCAGAAATGTAAAGAAGAAACAGAATGCTCATGGAGTAGCACATGTAATGGTTCAACACCGGAATGTCCAGAACCAAAACCACGTGATGATAAAACAAAATGTAATAATGGTACAGCATTGTGCATTAGAGGTGAATGTTCTGGATCAATATGCTTATTATGGAATATGACAGAATGTTTCCTAACATCACAAATTGTTCCACATATCGATAAAAGACAGTTATGCCAATTGGCATGCCAAAATGGCAATGACACTAATACATGTCGAAGTACAAGTGAATTTGCACATTTATATGATTTGCCAGTTGGAGGAATTAGTTTAAGACCAGGTTCACCATGTGATAACTTTCAAGGATATTGTGATGTGTTTTTAAAGTGTCGAGCTGTCGATGCTGAAGGTCCTTTAGTACGATTAAAAAATTTATTATTTAATAAGGAAACATTATTAACGGTAGCACAATGGATTACCGAAAATTGGTATGCCGTTGTATTAATGGGTATATTATTTATAATTGTAATGGGTATATTTGTAAAATGTTGTGCTGTTCATACGCCAAGTTCAAATCCTAAAAAACGACCAGCACGTAGAATTAGTGAAACATTAAGAAGACCAATGAATACTCTTAGAAGAATGGTTAGTTTCAAAATCTTAATTTATATTTTATTATAGTAAAATAACAATATTATTAAAATATTTTAGAGACATCCTCATCACGGGCAGCATGGTAGAAATGTGGGACCGCGTAGTGTACCACCTCCAGGTCATGATCATAGATCAAGAGCTGATTGGGATCGAAGAGCACATCCAGGTGGTCCACCACATAATAGTCGAAATGGTCGTAGTGATGGTGGTAGACATCATCATTCTGGTAGACCTACAAGTGGTACTAGAGGAGGACAAGGTTCATCTGGTGCTAGTGCATCACATCATGGGTATGCTGGTGGTGACGGGCGTGGGCCACAATATTATCCGCCGAAAGGTGTGTTCTATAAGCCTGTTAGGACGAAATAAATAAAATTAAAAAACAAAACACTGAACATAAAATGCAAAAATTGCAAAACAAAAAACAATCCCCTAATTAATTAATGCTTTTTAATTTTTTACATGTAGCCAAATAAGTTATGAACACGAAAATGAAAGCAGACAAAATATTCAATTAAATGTTTACTTGTTTTTTCTTTTCGTATTTTTAAACAAAAAAATTTTAATTTGTTTTTAGTTTTGAGTGATTTTTATACAAAAAAAAAATATTGTTTTTCATTCAAAGTAATTAAAAAAAATCGTATAATATATTTTGTTCAAAACCCGTATTTAAACAAACTTATGGCACAGCTCATAAATAATAATAAGGCTGCGTTTAATAACATTTAATTTTTGGTATGCAAATTTATATTATTTATTTATTTTATTATTTTAATTTTCAATTATAATTTCCTTAAATAATACAAATTAAATATGAATTTAGTGTACACTATTTATATTGTTACTAACATTAAATACCCCTAATAATACTTTTAAATGCCATGATTATATAATTAAAAATTTGCTCTTATTAATATTTTAATTGTAAAATCAATTGAACATGCAAAATGGAATATGAAGTCTTCTTGTTTGATCAGTTGAAAAAAATACAATATTCTTATAAGCATTCGAACTTATTTTAAATATTAAGTTGTTTAATGATCATCTAACTCGTATTATACTCTTATTGTTCTAAAAATAACTATTGTTAAAAAAGACATGACGCTATTATTTATTTTAGTTTTTATTCTCCACTAATTAAAAGTATACAATTAATTAAATGTAAAAATAAAATGTATGCCTTGAAATCTTTAAAAAATTTTAATTTCACTTAAATATTTAAAATAATAAAATTTTATTGTATTTTATTTAAAATGATTAGTAACAATATATTTAGTATAACTGGCAATATTTATTTGCTATTTTGCATTTTTATTTCTTTAAATCTATTTTATTTGCATATTTTATTATTTTATAATTTATTTTAAATAGATTTTGTATAATTTTTAGAAAAAAAAAACTTAAAAAGGAAAAAAAAATAATTTAAAATTTTAATTTTAATTATAATTTATTAATTTTTTAATTTTATAAATATTTCAGAATAGAATTTTTAATTTGAGTTTCCATAATCGGCTTTAGAACCCAACTTTTTGTGCAAAAATCAAATTTTTATTTAATTTATTCTATTATAATATTTTTCAGCATGTAAATATAATTTTTCTTATGTAAATTTTTATATCTATGTATATGTAGAATTAATTTAATATTAACATAAATATAATTTAGAATAAAATAAATAATGTAATTCTCTTTAATTTTTTAAATTCTATATTCTTAATGTAAAAATCTGTAATTTAGAAAATTATTCTTTTTTGTAAGAGAAAATTTTAATATTGTGATGTGAAATTTATTAAATTGATATTTTAACAATTCAAAGTATTAAATAGAAAATAATTTTTTATTAAATTAGAAAAATACATTGCATTTCAAGAAGAAATTCTAGATGTAATTCTATTTGATAATTTTAAATAATTTGATCTCTTATTTTAAAGATGAATAAAATATTCCATCCAATCAGAAGTATTTAATTACGAGATTTCTTTCTAAATTAATATATTATTTTTTAATATTTTAATTATTTTTAATTTAAATATAAACAAAAAATTAAAATTTTCAAATTTCATTCGATTATTTTACTTGCTCATCAGAGTTGTAAGAATTTTCAAAGGCAAAAATCTTCAATACTTTTGTAAAAGTTTTTTAAATTTTAAGAACAACTTAAAATAAATTTTTTAAACCTTCAAGCTCGAGCTTAAAATAATTTATAAAAATTTCATTTTAGTTTAAACAATATTAAAATTTTTAATTGTGAAAAAACTGTGTTAAAAATATTTTTTCTTGTAATATTTTTTTTGTATTTGCACTTTAATTATAATTTTAAATCGAAATTAAAAATATTGCATGTATTTTTTTTTATTTAACTTAAACTTAAAATGAATTATACTAACATTATTTTTAAATACGTAACATAATTTTAATATTTTATTAAAATGTATACAGTAGAAATATGTTTTTGGAAAACAAATTAATGGCTAAATTTATATTGCAACTCATTAGTATTTTTTTTTTTAATCTTTCCATGTTTCTAACAATTTGAAAGCTTAAAGTAGTAGTAACTGTGATAAAAAATTTTTGTAAGGTAACGAAATTATGTGAGCTTAAATTGTCGAAGCATTGTGTTGACAAATACTGTTTTCTACTGTATATACAAAAATTACTTTCTTAATAATTAGATTTTACTTTCTTCTTACTTTTGTATTAAATTTTGTAGTTGTGTTGTAAAGAAAATTTGATTAAATTAAATTTTTTAATTAGAATACATTTTTTATTCGTTGCTATATTATTTCTGCACTGTAGTATTGTACTTTAATAAATTGGTCCTGTTATTTAATTAATTATTACTAACTCTATTATTTATCAAAACTTTTATATTTTATTGTAAATAAAGCATTATATTATAAAATTTATTTTTTGTGTATATATTTATATAACTGATTTTATTGCACTCTTAAACTTTTATTATTTATTTAACAATTTTTTTTCCTTTCTTTTAATTAAATATAAGCTTTTTAATAATTTTTTATATCTTTTTATTGAATATCTATTAATTTTCTAATTTATTTTAAATGACTAACATATTCTTATATAGCTTTAAACTTATCATTTCATTAATCTGAACATTTAAAAATTAAACAATCTGCAATTTTCAAAACATTCAAAAAATTATAACTTTTAACATTACTAGAAAAACTTTCTAGAATATTTTCTATTCTAATTAATTTTATTAAAATATTTAATTAACTCTTAAATTACATATTACTAGGTTCGCATTAATTAGGCATTCATTAAATCATTATCATTTTAAAATTCTCCTTTTAAATACAAGGCCTACAATTACTTCTAAAAATTCTTTCTAAATTTATTTTACTTCTCTTCGTAATAAAACCTTAAAAAAAAAATAATCAAAATTAAATAAAAAATATTTATAACACATATTAAAAGTAAAAAATAAAAAAAATTATAATTATAGCCGTGACCGGGCAACCAGTAAATTATAATAATCGACCATTATCAACTCATAGTAATGCACCACCACCATCAGAATTATATGCTGATGGTTTTCCACCACGTAATGGCCCATCTGGTATTGTTCATATGGCAGCAGCACCACCATACCATGAAATATCATCAGCACCACCATTACCATCATCTGTATCACAACAACAGCAAATGCAACCAACAATGCAGCCAACACAAATGCATGTTCAAATGCCACCGCCACAACAACAACAGCATCAAAGAAATGTTACAAGTAATAATAATAAGGTTTGACAAGAAAAATTGAAAAAAAATAATAATAATAATAATAAAAAGAAATTTTTAACTAAAAATAATAAAAATAAAAATAATAAATCTAATATAGTAACAACAAATAATAATCATAATAATAACAATAATAATGATAGTAGTAATAATAATATTAATAATATTATTAATAATAATAATAATAATACGAATATTATAAACAGTAACAGTAATTATCATAATAATTTTAATAATTATAGTAATAGTAATAATAATAATAGAATTATGAGTACATTGTTAATTTCTGAACAAAGAATTTATTCTGTATTTCTTTTAAATATTTTATTATTTTACTTTCTTTAAGAAAATTATTCAAAATGTATGTATGTATTTAAAAAAAAAAAAAAAACAAATTATTTATGTATTTTAAATTGAAAGAGAAATTGAATATTTATGTAGAAAAGAAAGTGATTTTAATAAAAAAAATTTTTCTATATTGTTTTAGCACTTTTAATATATTCGTTTCGTTATGTTTATAGTTATAAAATGTATGAAAAAATTCAAATAGAATTTATTACAAAAATTTGTATTGTTTTATATTTTTACATTCGAAATTTAATACCAAATTTTAATGAAATTTATTTAAAACTTCATTTGCTTATAAAGTTTACTCTTCATACTAAGAAGTTTACTAAATAATTTTTTTAATATTGTATATTCTGAAAATTAATTTCGTTGTGTTCAATTGAATCAGAAAATTATTGTATAAAACTTTTTTTATATTGTGATAATTTACATACATATATATTTTAATATTCATATTTAATTATAAAATTTAGTCATAATTATAATTAGATTCATTACTTGTGAAAATTGGATATTATTCACAAATACTGAAGTTTCCACTATAGAATTTCAGAATCCCAATTATTTTTTTGCATTTTTTAGAATAAAATCCTACCAACACAAGTAAAGCGTCTAAGTGAAATATATGAACGATAACAATATAATTTTACACTAAAAATAATTGCAATAATATTATTGTTCTTCTGTTTTACTGCATAAGCCTGTACAACATCACAATTTATTTTATTTCACTTCACATTTATTTACAAAAAATTCAATACTATCGGTTGCAATACAAAAATTTTCCTTTATTAAAATAAAATTTTAAAGAAATTTATAACAAAATTTATAATTTTATATATTTTATAATATTTTAGAAAAAAAAATTCTTTATATATATTAAAACAATTAATTTAATAATGCATGTTTAAAAATTATTTGTATTCCGTTTCTAATTTATTTTAAGAAATTTCACATATATGCATTAACAAAAATTAAAAGAAAGCCCTGTGATATTTATTAAAGCATCACAATTGTAAAAATATTCGCTATTTCTTGCTGAATACCAAAAAAAAAAAAACAAATAAATATTTCAAGTATGGACGAAGAGTTTTCTTTTATAAGCAAAATTAATTTCATTTTAAAATATTACACGATTTCAATTATATTTTATTACTTTTATTTTATTTATTTTTAATTTATTATTTTAATTTTTCTTCAATCATAATATTTTTAAAACATGAAAAAAATTTATAAATAATTAATAAAATAAAAAATAATTTTGTAAAATGTGTGCAAAAAGGTAACAAAGATATGAGAAATTCAAAAAAAAAAAAAAAATAAGGATAATAATAAGAATAATAATAAAAAAAATAATTTTTGAAAATCGTGAAAAAAATATATATATATATATAAATAAATAATAATGGCAGGTGCATTTTTATATAATATAATTAAAATATAATATTAATTTGTAAAAAAGACTTAAATAATAGACTACATTATTATTATATATTTATAGTAATAGATTATAAAAAATAATATAAATAAATGTATTAAATATAATTTCTATTTTAATTCATTATTTAGAAATTTAATATAAAGCAAAAAAAAAAAAATTAAAATAAGAAAATGAAACAGAGAATTAAGTATACATTTACTAAAATATTTTACTAATCCATAATATGTTTGCTCAATATTTAAATTTAAACAATGCAAAATTATTGTATTTTTGTCAAAAATGATGAAAATGAAAAAAAAAATAAAGAATAATAGATAATTAAAATAAATGGAAGAAAAATAGAAAGTCTTCAATTATTATATAAATTATTTATTTTTTTTTGTTTTTCGTATATTTTGCAATTTAATTTTTTTAATATTTTATTGGTATTTAATGGGATTTTTATTAAAAATTTTTCTCTCAATATTAAATCTCGCTTACAATGTTTAAAATTTAATCATATTTTTCCAGATTTTTAAAATTTTTAAATATTTATTGCAAATTATAAAAAATAAATAATTTATATAATAGATAACAAAATTATTATTTTTTTCTGGTTATGCATTTAATACCAAAAAAAAAATAAAATAAAAAACAAATTTATTTATTACACTAATTTTGAATATTGTTTAAATAATAATTACAATAAAAATATAGTTATTTTTTTTCTTTGTATAATGGTGTTATATATTTTAATTAATTTAAATTAATAATAATTGTCAAATAAGAACAGAATAAATTTTTCTAACCAGTGTTATATTTTTCTTGTATTTTGTAACTATACAGACTTTCTTATTAATATTTGAACAGCTTATACTTGGAAAACTGTAACTTTTAATTAAATGAAAAGAAAAGTAAAATAAAAAAAATTGAAAATGTGATGTTATTAGTGCAAATAATTTTCAAAAACTACAAATGAAAAACAAAAAGAAAAAAAAAATTTAACAAAAGATAAAAAAAAATTCTTAAAATTCTTCTAATATCATATTTGATTTTTGCTTTTCAAAATAATTTTAGTTTTTTAATGAAAATAAACAAAAAAATTAAAAAAAAAAATATGTAATAAATTTTAAATTTAGTAAAAGAAAAGATGAAAGAACAAAAAAATAAAAATAAAAAAAAATAGTCTTTAGTTAGGAATTTTTTAAAAAAATTTTAGCCAGATATTAAAAATTAAAATGCAAAAAGAAAACTTATTAATTGAAAAATTTAAAAATTATTGTATTTTTAATTTTAGTAGATAATTTTTTGTTTTTATTTTAATTAAGTTAAGAATTATGGTTATTTTTAATGTTTGTATGTATTTGTATATCAAAGAACAAGGCAAAAAAAAAAAAAGGTAGCAATAGTAAGTAATTAAAAAATGAAAATATCAATTTTATTAAATTTTGTTTTTATTTTATTTTTTTTTTTTCGAATTTACTGCATTTATAAGAAAACAAAAGCGATTTAATAATAATTCACTTAAATTAATAAATTTATAAGTACAAAAATTTGGCACAATTATTGTTTGAACATAAAATAAATTCCAAGGAATAACAAAGACTAATTTTATATTAATTTATGAATTTTCAATATGATTGAAGTCAAAGAGAATACAAATGGATTTTATTATTCATTTAATCAAAAAATTTATTTTAAATATATGGCTTGATTTCATTTAAATTCGATACTTTGAAAGCTTTCTGTAAAACTAATAAATAAAACTCAACTAATTCAATGATAATGAATAAAACTCATGCGTACGTACTAATTCAATGATTACCAGGTCTTAAGATCGTAACCAATATTCCTCTAATATTGTTATTCCAGCTCTAATAACCTCAATTTTATAAAATCCAATAGCCTATTAATTATTTTAATAAAATTTACAGTCAAAACAAAAATTTTTTTTATAAAATTACTGAAAATTTTAATGGAAATTGGAAATTTTGAAAAAATAATTGCAGTAAAAAATTTTAAAAATAATTTTTTTTTTGATTTATTAATTTTATAAGAAAAATACAGCCAAATAATTATTATTATTTTTGTTTTAATAATAATAATAATAAATAAATAAATAATAAGTTTCAATTTATGGAATTTATTAAAAATTATATTAAAATTTTTTTTTTATTTCCATATTAAAAGTCATTAAATCCTAATTAATAATTAATAATTTTGAAATTATTTTAAATAAGAGAATTATGTAAAACAATATTTAAAAATTTTATTATTGAGAAAATTTTTCATTTTATTTTTTTTTTCAAATTGTAATTTCAAAATTCTTATTAATTTTTCTATTTTGTTTTTAGTTTTTTATATTTATTATTGAAATAAAATTAAAACATGAAATTTATTTTTGATAAAATACAAAGTTCTTGATTCAACTTCCCTTAAGTTTCATAATGCAATAATATACTACATATTTTTAAATTGTATTCTGAAATTTATGATTAAACTGAATGCAGTAATTAATTTTTTAAAAATAATCAAATCCAAAAATTGTGTTGTGGCATTATGAATGTGTAATTCATAATTTGTCCTATCGTTGTTTTCCTTCTTTTAGTAAAATGCCAATGTTTATGAATAGTATTGATAATTTTCAGAACTTCTGTTGTAATAATTCAGGATTTTGTTTACTTATATCAATGATTTTATTGCCTATAAATTCACCTTAAAAATTTTTTCTTTAAAAATTCTGCGGGGAATAATCTAATTCCATTTTACTTTTGATACTTTGTTTATTTATTTCTGATATTTATGGTATTTTACTTTCGAATCGTTTATTATTTTCGTTATTATTCCTACTCTAAGTTCATGTACAAATTTATTTTCAATAAAAATTTATGAATATAAATTGGAAAAATTATCTGTTTTTTGTATTATTTTCTTTTTTCGTAGCTATCAGGGATCTTATTGTAAAAAAAATTATTTATATTGGATTTTTTTTATAATAAAGCCCATTATTTCACAATTTAACTATTAAAATTTATATTTTATTACAAAAATTTTGTATCCTGTATAAAAATAATTTGAAAATTTTTTCATTTTCATAATATTAATAAACCTTATGATTGTATGTTTATATTTTAGGATTGAAAAAATTAAAAAATTATAAATTGATTTCATTAAATTTAAGATTATTATTTTTTTTTTAATTTTGCTTGATAAAATGTTAGATTAGTTAAAAAAATTTTATATTTTTAAAATAAAAACAAAAAAAATAATAAAAAATTACAGATTAAGTTAAATTATAATATTATAATTAAAAGAAAAAGTGAATTTTTTTGTTTAAATAGTATTATGAATGAAAATGTAAATAAAATTATTTGAAAATATTTAAACAAAAGAATATTTTAAAATTTTACTTGAGTTTTATTTTGTGATTCACCACATGTTTTCTTTTTTTTTTCTTCTATTTATTTCCTGTATTTTATTATATTTCAGATTTATTTTTATTATATTTTTATTATTTTTATTATAATCAACAATAATATCAATATTAAATATAAATTATTAACTTCAATATTATTATCTTTAATAAGGAAATTTCACATATTTTTTCCATGAAAGTAAAATGAATTTTAAATTTAAATTCTTTAAAATTACATTTAGTACAGCCCACTTTGCTATACAAATTGTATAATATTTTAATTTTAAAAAATTATTAGGTGTAATTACTTTATTATTATCATCTATATTTGAAATTGGATCAACAGAATTTATAGAATCAATTATCCACAATATAAGGATCAGCTTAAATGTACTTTTACTTTTCTAATTTTTCTGAATTTAATCTATATCTAACTATTCTTATTGTGCCAAAATTTTTTCTTTTTTTTTAATTATTAGAAAATTTATTATATTCTATTATAACATTTATCAATATTCTGTTAGTCGCATCACTTGACATGATGGTTTATTATTTAAAAATCTTGGAATTTTCTGAATAAAATCAATTCTGAAACTCGAAATTTTATATTGAAAAACCAAGTTAATTTTCAATAATATCCCGTCACCTCAAGCGGTACGACTAACAGAATATGGGTGATTATTTCTGTTTCTCGTCTTAATTAAACTAATCCTTATTGTCAATGGTACTAAAAACCATTTCTTAGTACTTAAACAAATTAAAATAAAGAACAAAAATTTGAAATTTAAAAATTTTTGTATTTGTTGTATTTTTTTTCTATACATATTCTATGTATGCATTAAATTTCAAAAATAATATGTATAATTAATAATCAATTAAATTACAAAATAAACTTTTTAATCTTTCATTAAGTCATTAGGTCATTATTTTTTTTTTTATTAATTGATTTTAATAATTCATATATTTGCTCAAAAGCAAACTACTATACGGACAATGGTATACAGACAGTGCAGAAATAAAAAATTGGGATTTTCTGTTTTTTTGCATTTAATTATGTATTTGAAAATTTTAAAATTATATTCCATTTAAAATTACCTAATTTATTTAATTTCTAATCAGCTTACTGTTTAATTGAATCAATCTTGTAATAAGCTTAACATATTAACTTAATAAAGACTTATATTAGCTTAAGCAAGAAAATTTGCTTAATAAAGACCAACTTTCTCAAAAAAGAATACTTAAGAACTTCCAATTATAACTTATAATTTAAGTATTCTATAATTTGCTTGCACAATAAATTCATTTAAATTGCAATTATTATACAGTCGACGTATAAATTAATTAATTTATTAAATTATTAAATTATCGTAAAAATAATTTCATCTACATTATTTTTTTATAATTTTTAAATAATTTAAATAATAAATTTTAAGTTTATTCCAAAATATTATAATTTTTTTAATATTGAAAAAATATTGAATTGAAATGCATAAATGAAATACTTTGAAATAAAATTAGTATCTAATAAAAAATAAAAAACATGTAAAAATATTGAAAACATTAAAAAAAAAACAACCTGTATATTTTGTAAATAATATTGGAAATTATGGATAAATAAAATTAAGGAATAAAAGTTTGAAATTTTAAACACAACTCTTAAAAGTTTTCAAATTTTTCTCGAGAAAATCAAAAAAATAAAATAAAAGGACAAAAATAAAATACAAGAACGGAAATCAAAAAAAAATATTTTAAATAAAAAAATTTTATTATTATTTTTTTTTTTTTTAAATCAAAAAAAAATATTTTAAATAAAAAAATTTTATTATTATTTTTTTTTTTTTTTAAATTAACAAAAAATATTTCATTAAAATCTGAAAAATTTGATCAAATCACAAAATATTTTTTTTAGAAATTATTCTCTAATTTACTACTCACCGCTATGATTTTAAAAAATCAGGTTAAAAACAAAAATTAAATTATAATTTTTTATTAATTTTTATTAATGAATTTTAATTAAAAAGATTATTTTCAAAAAAGAAAATATTTTTTATATTATAAAATCCAAAAAAAAGCAGAAAATTATTTTTAAAAATATTTCTCAATTATAAATTAATAAATTATATTTTTATAGTTCCTTTTATTTCAAAAATTTTAATTTAAAATGGAAAAAAAAAATTTATTTATAATTGAAAACAAATTAATTTTTTAAATATTCATTAAAATAATTAATTGCAAATTAATAAAATGAAAATAGTTTTCAAAAAATAAAATCAGGATCTAAAGGATTTCAAATCCCTTTTTTAAAAAAAAAATTATTCTTAGCAACCAACTTTTTACTTTTACTTTAACAACAACTTAATTTAAAAACTTTCGAAATGAATTTTTTTAAATTAAACAATCACAATAGATTTTTTGAACATCAGTTTATCGCTATTGCCAATTCCTTTTCCTAAATATGCAAATTTTTAATAAAGATTCAAGTTAAATTTTAGAACCAATCCCAATCCATATACAACCTACATTTTATTTATTAATGCACTTTAAAAATTCTGAGCTTTTTAAAGAACAAAAAAAGACTAAAATCTCTAAACAGAAATATATGAGATTTTTTTTTTAAATTAAAATAAAACTTATATTTTACTGCCAAAAATTTAAAAACAAAATATAAAAATAAAAAACAATAAATATTAAAAAGGCTGAAAATTAAGCTCAATATTAAATAAGAATTTCAAAACACCACAATATTCAGAATTGCTCGTTCTTTTTTTATATTTTTATTTTAATTTCCCTTGAAATTACTTCAATTCATATAGATCCTGATTACACAGAAAATATATATATATATACATACATAATATAATTAATTATAAAATTCCTGTAAATAAAAATTTAACTTTTAATCAAAAAAACAAAAAAAAAATATTTTTGAATTAAAAATATTGAATTTAAAAAAAAATATTAAAAAAGTAAACTATAATTAAAATATAAAAAAAAAAAAATAAGTAATATTGTAAAGATTGTATATGTAAGTGTATAGATTTCTAAATAAAAAAAAAAAAAAAGTAATATAAATGAAAATGAAATAAAGAAGAATTTATAAACAATATTTGTGTTAGAATTTTTTCTCATTAACAGCAAAATTTTTAAAGAGTTTTTACAAATCATACAACTAAGGTAGCAATTTAATTCTGAAGAACATTATGAAACAAAGTACCATTGGTCTACTACTTTCCCAGAAAAAAAACCCAAATGCAAATATAACTATGTATGTCCCAAAAAGTTTTACAATTGTTTAAACCTATATAATTTCGACGCATTTATGCAAACTCTTTAAGTCTTATAACTACAAAACGGGTCTTATTATACATTTATGTTAGATTTTTCTAGCATAATTTCGATTTTTCATTTTGTTTCTTTCGATTCGCCGGCAAGGTATTATAGCTTTGTTCGAGTTTAATGTGTGCTGCCAGTTTAAATTTTTTACAATGCGATTTTGTTACAGAGTAGCAAGCCACTTGCGAATCGCAAATCAACTTACGTAAATTTGCGACTTTCGTATTATTTTTACATAATAAGCCTTCTGAAATTGTTTTTTAGATAAGGCCCTAAAAAGTTCATTCAAAGAAATTGGATTTCAAGGCTCAGTAATAGGAGTTGAGATACTCAGAGAGGAAAACTGAAATTTTAATGATGAAATCACCTCAGCTTAAATAATAGTTACTTCAAAATGAATTTTGAATATCGATATGATTAGTGTGTGGGAAATAATTTTTCATTTAGAATTTTAAAAACTAATTTAATTGCTTAGATACTCGTAATCTAGTTGGTGTTATTTGAAAAATACTTAATAAATTTCCCATTTCGTATAAAAATTGTAAAAATTTTTTTTCAAGATCTAGAAATTCCTCATTTTAAAATAATAAAAACAAAATGTTATATAAAATGTAAGGCCCCCTTTTGTATGCGGTTACTTACTCATTAAAATATACTCAAAATACAAAGTAAATAACAAATGTACATAAGTTTTTATAAAAAAAAAAACATAAAAATACTATATTTTTCACGTTCAAACTCATTTCTGTATGTTGATTATTTAAACCTATTCATTGTAAAATGTTTACTTTAAATACAAATTTTGAAAAAAAAGAAATTGTTATGTGTTTATTTTACACAACAAAATTAATTTAAAAGTGAAAATATGTAGTTCCAAAATTTTAGTATATTATTAGCATTTTTATAATATTAAAGGTTTGATTTGATTTTAATTAAATTTAAAAATTCAAATAAAACTACATTTAATTATAAATTCTTTGGAATGTATATTTAAAGTTTAATCAATATTTTTCTTTTACTTATCTTATTAATTTATACAATATAATTTATCTTAATAATTAATAGAATAAAATTGTATCATAAAGACATACATTTAGTATAACATCACTTTGTCTAAAAATAAGTAAATGCTTAGAAATATGTTTTTTTTTTTGAATCGTTCAGAAATCATTTACTTTATAATTTCGTTTGAATTAATTTTTTTTTTTGTCAATATTGATATTTTGGATTATAAGATAATTTAATTATAAGTATAAATAATTGAGTTTTTTTTTTTGTAATTTTTTTATATAAAAATGTTAGGTTTTTTAAAAGATAGATTGTATCGAATAGATTGACAAAATTTAAAGAAAACAAAGAAAATTTTATAAAATAGACTACCTTTTTTCATATTAAATTTTACATACACACATTCATAATTTCTTTTTTTTTTTGTAAATAGCTCAAAATGAAATTAAATTGCTTTTTATATCTAAGCTTAATTCATTAAAAGTATATGGAAATACTTGGCTATGCTCTTATTTTTTTTTTGTTAAATAGACAAAAATGATGAATTCTGAAACTAAATTTTAAATTTGATTCGATTATGCTAAAATAAATCTTCGAATAAGCAATGTAATTCCCCCTTTCATTACATCTGGATTCCTAATTTAATTATAGGTAAAAAAATTTAGTTTATTTTGATTTGAATTAATTTTAGCATATTCTCTTTTTTAATTTGGTCTTAAAACTGAAAAAAAAAAACAAAATTTTTAGAACCATATAGCCCTCAAAATTTTAATGCATAAAAGCTTTAATTTTATGCTCATAGGTACATTAGCTTTAATAATTTTTTTATAATTTTAAAAAAAGCAATTTATGTTATTTTTAAATTTTTATTTTTTAAATTCTAAAAAAAATTCTTAACTATTTTTTTTTATCTTTATTGACTAAATCTATAAATCTCATTAATATTTTATATTTTGATCCAAATAAAATAGCACACATTTTAAATTAAGAAAATAATAACAAAACTATGAAAAACGAATAAATTAATAGTACTTAATATTTTTAAAATAAAAAAAAAAAATCTCTTCAATTGTTCTTTCTACATCTTAATTTAGTTTACAACCATTTAACACTTTAAATTTTGGGATTAAAATCTATTGCTAATGAAACAAATTTAAATTTTATATATATATGCTCTATAAATGATTTACTCCAATCCCAAACATTAAATTTACAAATATATTGTATATTATATGAAAGTATACATACATCTACATATTTATGTCAGTGGGTTACTTGTTTTTTTGTTTTGTTTTTTTTTTAACTACTAATCATAACCAATTTGTACTTTTATTTCAGGCAGTGCAAATGCCATCATAGTAGTTGTTACTTAACTGTTACAGTGATAATGAATTGAGAATTGGAATTTATGATTTTAGGCAATATATGTATGATTAAAATGAGATCTATAATTATTTAGACTACGTTTTATTATATTAATTTAAATATGATCAAATTTAGCAGCACATTGTAAAAACATTGAAAAAAAAATTATTCTAAAGTTTTCAAATCATTTAAAAAATGAAGTTAAACTTTTTTAAAGCATATTTTGTGGTTAAAAAAGTTGTTTTTAGGGTGGATAGTAAAAATTTATTCTACTGGCAAAAAATGTGTAAAACTTTAAAAAAAATATTTTCTAGAATATAAAAATAAATCACGTAATAAGTTATATTTTAACAATGCCATACATAAAAACGGAAAGAATTTAAAAAAAAAACTCATACAAAATATTTTAGCAAATTGCTAAACTACAATGCATGAGTTCTACAAGAATTTCTTCATTTAACGCAGTAGGAAGAATAGAATATTTGCATTAGCAAATGAATTTGTTCATAAAATTAATTTCACACGTAAACCATGTTTTTTGTTCATAAATTTGCTTCTAATTACTTAGCAATAACATTAATGATAATTAAAAACAATGAGGTATAAGTATAAAAAAGTATTTTCAATATATTTAAAATACGTTTAATTTAATATTGCACGACTATAGAAATTTCTACATTATTTTCCAATTTATATATTTAAATTCAATCTTAGTTTTAGTTTCCACATTAAAGAAAGTCCAAAAAATTTAAAAAAGAAATTTTATGTTCTCTTTTTCAAATTAAGTGCAGATTCGTAAAAAAAAAAAGCAATAATAATTATTATTTATTTATCTGGGTGCACATTAGCTTCAATTTTAAAAGTGTGAAATTCAAAAAATTTAAATATGTACTTTTATTATATTAGAGACGGTATGTAATCAATGCATTCAAAATAGAAAAATGCATTTAAAACAAAAATATCAGTTGTTCAATTAAAAATTACAATATTCTGACAATTATATTTAAATATTTAAAATTTGTTTATGGTTTTTTTAAATAATTGAATTTTTTAGCATATTTTTTGTCTTTGTTCATTTAGTTTCCTAATTATTTAAACTGTTATTTTCGTTTGTTTTTTTAATATATTTTCATTTGCGAACGTATTAAACGTTGCAAAATTTTATTGCTTATCATAAATTAATATATATTGTATTTTTAATTAAGTTTGTTAGCAACTAAATACTTTACAACTAAAATAATATAACTAAAAATTAAATAGATAAAACCTTTCCTAAATTTTAATTATATTTAATGATTAATTTTTTTGATTTGGTTTCGATACATAATTATTTATCTCTTGTATTTTATGAAAATCACATCCAAAAATAATAATTATACTAAAAATTTTATCTAATAAATTCTATTATCGAATGAATATAGAAGAAAAAAAAATATAATTCTATTTATGTTTCCTATAAGAATTTTAATAAATCTAAAAATAGGATTTCATTCTATATCCTTCCGATGTGCGAAAACACCAAGTTTTTGTCTTATTTTTGTAAAAATTATCAAAGTCTTATTTATTCATATTTATACTACAGACAAATTTCTGGTAACGGTCCTCTACCTGCGGCAACTTTACACACTTCACCAAATAAATCTTTTAAAATTGAAGCCTGTCGACCTTGTGATCCATCTAATGTAACTGTTGGAATAAAAGATACAGGTGGCTTTAATGCATGTGTTGCTTCACCATGAAGTTTCAAAAGTTCAGAGCCGTGTGGACTATCATAACATTTTTGTATAAGTTCAGCTGTTTCAACATGATGCTCTCTTGTACACTAAAATTTAAAAATAAAAATTAAATTTACTCAATCAAATAATTCATCTAGTTTATAAAGAAAAATTCATCTGGCATGCACAAGTGCAATGCAAAATATGAATCATTGAAATTTTTTATTCATATTAACAAAGAATTACATATGGCTTATTTTAATTACTGGTTTTAACAAAGATCAAAACATGTTTAATAAATGCTTCAAAGCAAATTGTTAATGATTCATAATTTAACGTAGCTTGGTACACAAAATTTCTTTCATATTTCTGCACTTATTGTGTTTCAATTTTTTTCTTCTTGAGTAATATTCAATTCTGTATCGCGTGTTAATAATAAACGATTTTGGCTGACTTTCACAAAATTCTGTTGTGCAAACATGTATACAAATTAGGTACATGTTTTATGCACTTAAAACTATTTATAATTAAAAATTTAAAACTAGCTACAGTTTTTTAAGTAGCTATTCTGGTATTATTATTAATAAAATTTGTTCATAGTTAAAAAAAAAAATATCATGATTGAATATTAAATTTCAATGTTTTTAAAACTTGTATTAAATTTTCTTTAATTAAGTAATAGTTTACCTATGAACTTTTAATAATTTAAATATTTAAAAAAAATATATAAAAAAAAAAACATAAAGTTTCGGAAAACAAACAACATTTTACTTTGTTTTTTTGTTTATTGCAAAAATTTCACCTTCAAAATGAAATGCAGAAATCGGAAGTAAAAATTTTATTAAAATTAGATAGGTACTTACTTTTTGCATTGCTTCTTTTGGCAAACGATTGTCTCGAATCATACAAGCAACAACATCTAATTTTGTTTTAGGATCTTCAATGGCTTCAATTGCACATGCATGATAAATATTACCTTGGCACTCTAATTGTCCATGTTGGCAGTCAAATTTGAGCGAACCATCAGCATTAATTTCAGTCTAAATTATATTATATTAGAGTAACTTAAATAAAATTAATATTAAGAAGCAAAAAAAATCTTTAAAACTTAAGAAATTGATTAGATAAGTAATTTGATTTATCGCAATTTATCAATTATTTTTTAAAGTTAAAATGTACTTATATGAACATACATTTATATGAACGACACATTAAAGCTGCTTGATACTAGTAGTTTTATAACAAAAACACGTTGCAAAATTTTTGCATTAATTATTTAAATTATGCTGGTGTACCTACCTTTGCTTTTCCATATGGAACAAATTGAATTTCAATGAGATCGGGTGCTTTTCTGTAGGTAGGGACTAATTGTTTGAGTATAAAATTTTTTGAATCTGGACATAAAGATTCATAAAATACCATAACTAAAACTGGAGCACCAAAGGGTCTCACCATAATATCATCCTGCAAAAAAAATTTATTTGTTAAAATTTGATCATGGTTTAAAATTATTATTACGAAAGAAATATGCATGTAATGAAAGAATGTTATAATTTATTTATAAATATGTTTTACCGATTGCCATGACAAGGGAATACCGACTAGACGACATATTTGCCAAATAATTATTACTATAAAAATTATAATTAAAATTCTTCTTTTCGTGGCTGTTGTAAACATTTTTTTCTTCTTTCTTTTTTTAACTTGTTTGATAATTAAAAACTAAAATTATAAATTCCTCCGAAAATTTTCTAAGTCGAGCGTTCAAAATATTACACTTTACTAAAAACAATTCTTGTATTTTTTGTCTACATATAAAAAAATTTATCAGAAATAAAGTTTTGGTTCTTTTATACCATTTTCTTATTTATTCTTATCAAATGAAATGACAAAATGACAATAAAAAGTACAATATGTAAAAAGTACTTGAAAAATTTTTAAGCTTGTTCATTGAACGAAAAATTATTACGTTTGTTCGTTAGATTTTATTGTGGTTAGTATTTTCTTTTGTAATTTGTATAAAACTTGATTAAATAACGTAATAAAAGAATGGTATGAATGAACAGCTTTAAATGATATTCGAACTGATTTTCTTTTAATGGAAAACCAATATTGTTAAAAAATACTGTCAAAAAAGTGTCAAATGTAGGTATAGTGAGCAAAAAAAAAAAAATATCTCAGCTTAAAATTGACGAATCAAAGAACCTTCCAAAAAAAATTTGTTCGAATTTGTTGTTAGCTTGGTTTAAAAGCGACGATACAATGACTCTTGTGTTAAGTCTCATAAGAATGAGCTCTTCAGCGTCAGTTACACATTACGATACTAAATCTATGATTTCATCTAAGATTAAATCTACAAAAAACATTGATGATGGCTGTTTACATGTCATACTAACATTTTCTGATAGATTTAATGTTAAAGTTTAATAATTTTTATACAAAAACTATAACCAAAATAAAAATCAGCTGGTCCAAACTCTCGCAAAAAATAGTTTATCGTCATTTTACTTTTCAATTTGGTAGTAAATCCGATGAGAATTAAGTAATTTGTAATATTTACCGCCAGAAAAAGTCTAGTGTCCAGAACTGCTTACATATACGACTCTCATTAGACTCAGATTAAATTACAGATTTTATTGGACATGTATTTAAATTATGTCTTTAAAAATACATCTTCTTTTCTTCTAATTTTGCAAGATTAAATCTCAAAAAACGTGTTTTATACTTTTTTATGTATTTTCTTTCTGTATATTTTTTCAAAAGCAAAAAAGTTACCTTTAATGGGTAATTTGCAATTTGCAAATATTAATTTGATTAGAAATGTATTATGTTCATTTTATGCCTCACAGAGCTAAAAATTATATATAAGAATTGATCAAAAATTTTAAGGTTCTAAAGACTTTTAACATTTAGAAAAATGAAAAGTTTTAAAAATCATCGTAAATTTCAGTTTCGTCAGTTTTTTTAAATAAAACGAAATAATAAATCTAATTACCACTATAATATATGTACGTATAAAGCCTTAAATTGAAAATTATGTAAGTATCTAATTATTCAATGTGTAATAGCTCCACAAACAAATTTCAAAAATATTAAAAAAGTGTACATAAAAATTTCTCTTTAGTCAATTTCGTATTGCGATGTTATAATCGCTGTTGCAATACAAGATATGTGAACGTAGTTGTCCATTCCATTTCTGCTATTTTGACAACAATGTTAAGTGTTGCCAGTTTCATAACGTGACTGTCATTTAATCTTGAGACAATTTGAAATTGACAAATCTAGGAAGCCGCTTTTTACTTACATATTTTATTTGTTTTATAAAATTTTGCTTGCTAAAAAACATTTGTTTTTTGGGAAGTCCACAATTTTGCCAACTTCTTATATTTAGTAATTGATAAACTATTTTGAATTAAATTTAAGGTGAGTTACGGGTTAATTTCTTTAAATTAGATAAAAGAAGTTTCTATAGTAACGTGCGAATATTATGTCAGTCTTGTTACTGTGGATCCAAATTAGATCGATTTAATATTATTTCATATAATAATTTATTCTAGAGCTTTCTACATCTAAAAATCATAATGACGGAAACTGAGAAAATTGAAGTAAGAGATATCACTCGAATCGAACGAATAGGTGCACATTCACATATTAGAGGTTTAGGGCTTGATGATGTCCTTGAAGCACGTGCTGTTTCACAAGGTATGGTTGGGCAAAAAGATGCTCGACGCGCTGCTGGTATTGTTGTTCAAATGGTACGAGAAGGCAAAATTGCTGGAAGATGTATATTACTTGCTGGTGAACCGAGTACTGGTAAAACAGCAATTGCTGTTGGAATGGCTCAGGTTAAAAAAATTATTTCCATAAAGTTTTTTTAATACTATGTCGTGTTTCTAGGCTTTAGGTAATGAAACTCCTTTCACAAGTATGTCTGGATCAGAAATTTTTTCATTAGAAATGAGTAAAACAGAAGCCTTGTCACAGGCTTTACGGAAATCAATTGGAGTTCGTATTAAAGAAGAAACTGAAATTATTGAAGGCGAAGTTGTAGAAATTCAAATAGACAAACCTGTGACTGGAACGGGACAGAAAATCGGGAAAGTAACTTTAAAAACAACGGAAATGGAAACAAATTATGACTTAGGAAATAAGATAATCGAATGTTTCATGAAAGAAAAAATACAAGCTGGTGATGTTATTACTATTGATAAAGCATCTGGTAAAGTAAGTAAACTGGGACGAAGTTTTACTAGAGCAAGAGACTATGATGCAACTGGTGCTCAAACTCGCTTTGTTCAATGTCCAGAAGGAGAATTACAAAAAAGAAAGGAAGTTGTACATACAGTAACACTTCACGAAATTGATGTAATTAACAGCAGAACTCATGGTTTTCTTGCATTATTTTCTGGTGATACAGGAGAAATTAAGCAAGAAATTCGAGATCAAATTAATAATAAAGTTATGGAGTGGCGTGAAGAAGGAAAAGCTGAAATAAATCCCGGAGTTTTATTTATTGATGAGGTTCATATGTTAGATATAGAATGTTTTTCATTTCTCAATCGTGCTTTAGAAAGTGACATGGCTCCAGTTGTTGTGATGGCTACAAATCGCGGTATAACTAAAATTCGTGGCACAAATTATAGCAGCCCACACGGCATACCAATTGATTTATTGGATCGTATGATTATAATTAGAACTATCCCCTATACCGATAAGGAAATGAAAGAAATATTAAAAATACGATGTGAAGAAGAAGATTGTTTAATGAATACAGATGCACTCACAGTTTTAACTAGAATTGCTATTGACACTAGTCTTAGATATGCTATTCAATTAATTACTACAGCTAATCTTGTTTGTCGTCGTCGTAAAGCTACTGAAGTAACTATGGAAGATGTGAAAAAGGTTTATTCACTATTTTTAGATGAAAATCGTTCAAGTAAAATTCTTAAAGAACATCAGGATGAATACATGTTTAATGAAATTGTGGAAGTTAAACCGCAACCAATGGAATGTGGAGACGCTTAATCGGTAAATTGTATGTTAAACAAAAAAAAATTGTTTGAAATCATGCCTAATTGAAATGTTCAAATAGAAATATTTTAAAAAGAATGTTTATAACCTTTAATTTCATTATTTCGTTTAAATAAAAGCATTCTTTAAAAAAAAATTACTTTATTTTTTTTTAGATTTCGTATTTTGTTCATTTTAGACGATTGTAGATTTCTCTTATTTTTATCAATAGAAGGACATTCTGACTAAAATGTAGTTACATAAATTCGATCAAGATTTTTGTAAATTTTGCATACAAAAAATTGTAGGAAAATACGCATAACTATGCATTTACAGATTCGTCTTCGTCTGGCTTGAATATGCTTATGAATTTTTTTCAGAAATCTGTTTACATACTTAATTTCAAATTTTATCAGCTATCCAGATTTGCCGTTTCAATACTGGATCCAGCATCAAATGTTAATAAGAAAAATCTAATTTCAAGTGTATTGAAAAAACAAATCTATTTTCATAAAATATTTATTAGCAAATTATTGATATTGTTATTGCATGCAATGCTTTTTCTCACTTATTTTCAATAAGATAAATTTTTTTTCATTAATATTTAGTCTCATTTTAATGCTAAAAAGTTATTTTTTTCTTTCAGTTTTTCTAAATTAACTAACATTAAAATTATTCAATTTTTGATAGTGTTAAAAATTTATTTGAATTGCTTATAGTTTTGATTTTTTTTATTTTATTCTTTATATGTACTATGGTTGTTTTTAAGAATTTTAAAATAATGCAGGAAAATTTTTTATATTTTTGTAAGGAAAATATTTAAATATATTAATTTAATTTTAGAATCAATAATCATAAAATTACTAATTCTTATTTGAATGATATTTAGTCAAACGTTTCACATTTTGTAGTTTGTACAAATATTTAAAAAAAAAGAGTTGAAATATACATAAATACAAACTATGACTAGGAAAATCTTAAAATAAATACCATTATTAATATTACATTAGTTCTATTACCAGTAATCAGTACTAAATGAACATGTTCGCAATGTACATAATATAACAAAATTGTTTCTAAAGTTTTTCTTGTTTAAATTTCTGTTTTAAATGTTAGAAATTCTACCTTAAATAAATAACTTAATAATGTTTCTGAAATAAAAACAAGTATAAATTTGAATTTATACTTTTATGTATACTTTTATGTATATGCAAATGTTGCAATAAATATATTCATTTTTCACTGAAAGCATACCTAGCAAAACTAATTTACTTTTTGATTTAGATAATGTGAATGTTATTTAAATTATCATTATTTAAAAAAATATTAAGAAATCAAAATTATAAAAACATTAAGAAATTAAATTTTTAATAAAATTTCAAATGATGCATTCAGTGAGACCTATGAATTGATTATAGGCATGTAAATTTTTATTTTATATTTTGGTTTTGGAAGATTATAGTATTCTAATAGTAGCTATTGCAATTTAAATTCATTTTTGTTACAATAGTACATATAATTTTTCCAGATTTTATATATTTTTTAAGTATACATATGCACATAAGTTACAAGTTATATAGAATATTATTAATATAAAAAATTTTGAAATTTAGCTATGGAGTTTTGTAGCCGCAATAACGTTAACAGTAGAGTTCCTTCATTTTTATTATGTTGAATATTAATTACATTTATACTACGTATAAATATAGCTAATGATTGTATAATGAAAATTTTATTTTGTTTTTGTTACATTCATAAAAAAATTTTATAATGATTAATTAAATTTTCAGATTTAAAATGTTTGTTACTTTACAATGGAGCAAAACGTAACCAAATTCCCAACTAGACAAAACTAAAAAAAACTTAAAATTTTAAAAAATTGCTCTTAAATTTAAAAAATTTAAAGAACCTTATTTTTTCGGTTTTAATTTTAAATGTTTTTGATTAATTCGAGTTATAATAAATAATAGAAGTTGTATTGCAAAAAAAAGATGGTCTATATATTGACATTGCATTGAATAAATCATTAAAATCTAAGTTTTTTTAAATATTATAACTTTTTAAAATTGAATGTTAAACGTTAAGTTATTTATGTTTTTATATAAGTATATATAATATGTACATACATATGTACAACATAAAACAATTTTGGTCCAACTGACTATTTTATATTTTATAATGTTACCTCGTTTAGGTTATCAAAACATTAAGTATATATTAATATTATGTGTTATAATAAAAAAAAAAATTGATATTAAATTTAGAACATTATTAATATTTTTAATATATTTTATTTTCATTTAACAAAAAACAGCACAAATTATCTTACATAAAATTGTAATGCATATATTCTAATATTAAACATACAGTACAAATACTGAAGTGTTTATTTAAACTCAAATAATATATTGTTAAAATGAATTTTTATTTTTTAATAAAGTAAAATTCTTTTTAAATACATTGTATAATGTAGGTATGCACATTCATTTAAATTAAATTATATAGCAAATTTTGCTAAATATGAGCTCTTCAAATTGAAGAACTTCAACTGAATTCTATTATATTTTATTTTTTAATTATTAGTTAATAAAAAATACTTTATTAACAAATAAAATTTGTGGCGATACAATTTTAAATACAAAAAAAAGTGGTTATATAATATATTTATTTATCACTATATTTATTTATATAATAATTTATATTTAGTATTCAATAAATTCGTACATTCAGCACTATATAGATATTCCTGTCTTTAAATATCTCTATTTAAGTAATATTCTTTCAAAAAATTTGCGCTAGGAATAAGTGTTTTTTCAATTCACTTAAGTACACTTAACTATACAAATGTAGATTTCGTAAAGAACACAAATAATAATCGTATTTACATATTAATTTTATATTTTGAAAAAAAATTTCATGATTTTTATGTGTACATTTGTTTTTAACTTAATTTACTTAAATACCAATAAGTACTGGTTTTCAAAATTCTTATTTTGTCAATTACTTTGAAAAGTTTAAATTTTAAATTTCATGTGGTAAGGATAACAAGGTAAATAAAAATGTTTTTTTTTTTTTCGTTTTTGATTTTTTTTTTTTAATTTAAAATATTAAATATAATTACAATTTATTATTTATTATTATTTTTTTTTGTTATTTTTGTAATTAATTTTATGTATATAATATAATTTTTAAATCTTATAAATTATGAGATAATAAATTCACTTCGTAAAATAAGATCAGCTCAGTACAGTAACGAATTTCTTAAAACAAAAAAAAATCGAAATACTTTCTCAATATCTTCATCCGTTTCTTTCTGTTCCATTTTGTCCGTTTACACACTTCATAAGATTTAATACAAAAAAAAAGGTCTTTTAAAAAAAGTCCCATATGAGTCCCATGCAACGAAATATGTACGCTTAGTGTAACATATTATGGGAATTTTAAAAGTGTATACATTGAATTTTGATTATGATTTTCTATTTTGTATGGTTTCACGTTTTGAAAACCCACATAATTATGAAAAATATTTTCAAAATACTTTCCAAACCAAATTTTTCGAAAATTTGTTTGCTTGAATAGTAATTATGTGATTATTTTTGTTTTATATATTGGTGGTTGTTTTGTTTTTTTAATATAAAATCAAAATTTAATGCTTTATTTTATTTTTCTTATTGGAATGTGTTGTACTAAATTGCTTCTTGGCTTTTTCATATTCTTTTAGTCGACATATTGCATAGTCCTAAAATTTGAAAAAAAAAATTGTTTTTAATAAAATTTAATTTAATTCCAAATTTGTATCTATGTATGTATATTATAATATATTCTTTTAAAAAAAATATTTACCCAATAACCAAATTCAATATTTTGATGTACATTAACAACAGACCATAAACACCAGAATAAATGTGATACCATTGAAAATATTTTTACTTCTTCTAATACTTCATCAATTTCCTCTTTTGTTGGTTCATCTACTGATATTAAATCTACATTTTGTGATGATGATGATCTTGAATGTGTTGTTATTGATGATAAATCATAATTTTGATTGATTTTTTGTAAATATGTTGTAATAAAGTCTCTTTGTTGTTGTTCATTTGGATATTGTTCTTTAAAATGATAAAAATATGGATATTTATCATTTGTATAATCTAGAGTCCATTCTAAGAAATGATTAGCTAAATCAAAACCACGGTAATTATATGCACAATATTCATAATCGATTATTATTAAATCTGGTTCATTATTATTATTAGATTCGGCAACCGAATCATTTGGATCACAACTTGAAAATGAATCACGTGTATTGTCCAAGTCACATATAAATGAATCATTATCTGATGCTGGTAATGATCTTTTCCTATATATTTTTAAGAAAAATTGAAAAATTAAAAAATTAATAATTAAAAAATAAATAAATTTTAATACAAGTATAATTAATAAACAATAACATAAAATTTACTGTAATGTACAAAATATTATTTTTTTACAACTATGTGGTAATTTAAATGTTGAATGATTGATTTTAATGTTGCTTTTAAATTATATTTTAATAAATATAAGTTAAAATATTAGATATTTATTTTTAAAATATTTTATAATCATAATAAAATATTTATGTATGTATTTTATAATAATTTCAACGAATAATTTTTTAATCGAAATTGGATTCGTAGTTTAAAATGTGCATGCATATATATATATATATATATATATATATTTATATGTATCAATATTTAGAACTTTTTAGCATAAAATAATGAAATTTAAAAAATTTAAAAAGAAGAAGTTTGAGAAAACAATTATATAATTATATACACATATGTATATGTAGCAGAAATATTTTTGACAATATTATCGGAAACATTATTTTATATAAAAAACGCTTGACATACTGCAATTTTTTATTGCAATAAAAATTAAAAATATAATTTGAATATGTTTCTGAATTTGGTTGAATTATACAAGATTCTAAATCTTTATTATTTTGTCAATTTAATTACTCATAGTTTGAAGCTTACTCATACTTATTTATTTATGAAATAAATATTTTTTTTTATAAATTTACCTCTGTAAATAAATTTTTTAATTACATATCTAAAAGTAAAAAAATAATAATAAAAACTTATGCTCGAAAACTTATTCTATTACAAAAAATATATAAAATACAAAATTTTGTTTACAATATTGCGAATTCCTTTGCGAGAAAATGGCTGATCTGATATTTGAAAAATCTTATAATAAGATTTCATTTGTTTTTTTTTTTTTTTTTGTTTATTTCACATATCACGCGTTAATCTGTATCTTACCTTGTATTTCCAATATTATTTATTCTTAAATTTCCATTAATATTATTATTTAAATTGAATTCTGTAGTTTTAGTTAAATTTTCAATTGATCCGGTACCTGAATCTTCAATAACATTACTGAAAATATACAAAAAAAATTGAAAAATTATACAAATTCAAAACTTTCATAAATTCCAAAATTTTTGTTTTTAATTCAAATTCAATTAATCATGATAAAATTCTAAAATAAATTCGAAGTTATGATGTTGATTTTGTTTGTTTTCGTAGAAAAAATTATATAATATGTATATAAAAAAAAACAAAAGAAAAATTAAATTTTTTATTTATTATATTAATATTAAATAAAATGAATTAAATGAAACAAAGTTAAAATTAAATAAAATAAATAAAAAATAAATATTATGTTCTTAGTATATTATAAATCTTCCACGTATCTAAAATAAATTAATTATTTAAATGTGAAATTTTATAAAATTTAATTATTAAAAATTTGGAAATATTAAAAGATTATGTTTATTTTATTTTTTATATATGAATTATTTAAAAAAAATAAAATTGAAAATATAATGAATATTTTGTATGAAATTGGTGAATAAATTAAATTAAAATGGTGCAAAATTATGTAAATTTTTTTAGTTTTGCATAACAATATGCTTTGAAAAGAATGATTTTAGCGATTTAAGCTTTCTGATATTGAAAAAAATTTTAATAACATTTTAGGAAAACAAAAATCAACTATATTTAAAGCATTTTCAAAAATTTTAAATTATTTTCTCAAATGAATCGAGAAATTTATTCATTATTTTTCAAAATTCATAAATAATTTTCTCTTAATATTTCTAAATTTTAAATAATTTAAAAATATATATTTTTATTTATTTTTTATAATAAAAAAATAAATTACTATTATTTTCTCGTATTCAAAATTCACGTTTTTTTTTTCTTCGAACGTTTTTGCGAAGGTGTTCGTTTTCATTTGAAAGGAATTTTTAATGTTACATAAGATAAATTTTATGTATGATTGTATTCAAGAAGATCATTTAAGAGCGATCACCACATTTCATATATGTATATTATGTTGTGATTGCTGCATCATTGCTTCTCTTACACAATTATATATATATTTTTAATTTTTAGTTTTTAATAAAATATAATTTTTTTGTTTTTGTTAATGTTTGCCTATTACAAATATGATTACGTACAACTCAGCCAAATTCTCAATCATGAGCCAAGTATACACGGACACAATATTGTGATGTATGTATATTTTTTATTTATTTATTTTTTTTTATGTCACCCCCCAGGACATCCTATATATTTTCTTTTCAATGATTATCCGCATACACAGGTTTGGTTTATTTTTGGTCTGTATTATCTATCCATCATAGAAGAACTTGTGTTCAGAATAAGCTATTTTTACATTACATACACACACAGATTATACAGACACAGATAAAGTACAAAGTTTTCTAATTAAACTGCAATTAAAAATAATTGATTTTTCGAAATTTCTCGAAAATTTATATGATATTAAAAAATTTTTCAAAAAAAAAAAAAGTAAATATTTTACAAAATAAATTTACTTTTCTTTTTTTTTAAATTTTTTTTTGCTTTTTTTTTTGCTTTAGATCTTTATATGGTTTCATATGAAAGTTATACCTTAAACTATCACTAGTTGTACGAATTCGTGCTGATATTGTAGGTTCCTTTAATAATATATTGCCTTCTTGTAAATCATTGTGGCAAAATACAACAGGAAAATCACCATCTTCAATAATTGTTTTAATCCATAAAACTTCTTCTTTAAAATTAATTGATTTGATACGTTGAATTTTTGATTTGAGTTCTGGTAATTGCTCTTCTCTAAAAATAAAATCAAAATGGATATTTATTAATATTTATTGTATTGAAAATTAAATTTAAAATTTTTTGTATATGAATTTTTTTATATAATTTTAAAAGCTTACTTAATATCTTTTAATATTGCTTCAATTGTTTTTAACCAACGATTCATACTATTCCATACCCAATCAGGTTCTTTTGATACAGGTATATCTAAACTATGTATATCAGCCATTTTTTCAGCAACCTTCATTGATATTTTATAATTAGATAATTCAGATGTTGCCAATGCTCTTGCTGGTATATATTGTTCAATTCTTCCACCTGGGAATATACCATGTAATTTTGGTCCTAAATTACGTTCAGATAACAATGTAAATACTACAGATTCAGTTAACATTGTTTCAAGAGCATTTTCTCCATGTACTTGTCCATAAATTCTTAATAATACCTGTAATAAATATATGTACGTTATAATTTGTATGTCATTAAAAATTTTATTTATTTTGTAAAAAATTTTAACTTAAAAAATAGTTATAGATAAGAAATATCTTATTAGAACTTTTATTTTATTGTACATTTGAATGGAATTTTTTTAAAACCTTGAAGTGTTTTCACATGAAAACTGTGGTATTTGTACATTATGTTAAGGTGGCACTTAAAAACATTGAAAGAACGCATAACCACTTTATTATAGTTTTTCTACGTCTTAAAAAAATTTGGGGCGAAATTTTAATATTTGATTTTATTGAGATAATTGAAATTGAAACAAGAGATGTGGTCGCTCGTACCTTTGGTTTGCAAAATCGGGTATTTCCTTCCAGCTGGAGAACTTGTATTTTTATATGGATTTAAAATAATTCTCGAAATTATTTGCTCGTTACCATATACTTTTGCATAAATCCAGGCGAAATAGAGTTACAATTTTTAAAAAATCTAAATATATTCTATAGGTATATGTAAGTCAACTCCGAATTATATTGCTAATTAATTTAGTTAAGGTATAAGGATACCATTAAGGATTAAAAGATGATAACCGTTTATAGTGTCGAAAAAATACGGGACCGAAAGAATTTTGTCATTTTTTTAATATCTATCTTTAATGGTGTACAAATTTTATAACCAGACAAACAAACGGACAGATAGGTTGAAAGTAACTATTGGTTCATTTTTTCCAAAAAATTTTTAGAAATTGTGGCAAAAAAAGATTCTACTTGTTTTTAAGTTTTTTGAAATTACAAAATTGAAATGTGTATGTACACTTTAATATTTAGTTTAATCAGTCAGATTAGATAAAATTAATCGTTTGGTGTAAAGAATTATAAAAATGTTTTCGAAAACTATATAGCGCATAACGTATATGTTCATATACAATTGATAAAGCACAAATCCACTGACAGGAAATTTCCCATCGCACTCTAAACTTACAGAAAGTTTCTTTGACGTCAGTTTTTCTACCCTTTGAAGATTACTTAAAATATCAGATATTAGTGACTAGATTGACGTTATAAGGGAATATGACGAATTATAGTGTGACAGATACATAATTAATTATAAAATAGTACATAATGCGCACTTATAGTGGTGGAATTAAATAATTATGTATATTCCTCATTAATCTTACTCTCTACAAATACGATATCATACAATTATATACATTTCTACGTTATATCGCTTCATTTATTATAATCCCTGATATATGGATATAAATAATGAATAAGGTTGACGCGTGTATGAATAAATTTATAGTTAGGCTTAAATTGGTACTTTAAAATGCAAATATATGTATAATACTGTAAGATTTACATATTATAATTATAATAGGTCTATAAATATATTAGTCAAAATTAAACACTTTAATTACGTAATATGTACAGAAGTTTTTTTTTTTAACAAATAAGCAGCCATCAATAATAATTGATTTTAAATTAATCAGATTTTTTGATTTAAAAATAGTTTTGTATTGACTATTAATTGAAATAATGATTAACGATCATATTATATACTTAATTATTGATTAACAAAACCAAATTGATAGGCAAATTTACTTGGCTTATGAATTAATTTTCTGTTCAAATATTGTATAAGAGAAAAACAATGTCGCATTAACTCATTAACGCTAAGCATGGCATGCATGGACGTTAGTAAGTATATATTATTTAAAAAGTATGTAAAAAAATTTACATAAATATTAAAGGTATTCGAAGAAAACACCTTAAAAATATAAATATAATTAAATTAAGTTTACCTTAATTTCAATTTAATTATTTCATCCAAATTATAATAATTTATTCAAGGTTAAAGAATTTTATCCTCTTGCGTGTGAAACTTTTTCATATGTACACTTTATACCTTGCATATTGTAAAGAATAATTATTTTTGATAAGCAGGTTCAGCGGTATGTTAAAATTAATTGTATTTGGTCTCAAATAAAATTTTTGATGCAAGGACTTGAAATTTGAATACATATTTTTTTTTTAGTTTAATCATTATTTATAATGTAAGGATCACGCTATTCCCAGGATTACTTTTGAGCCTATACAATACGTAAATTATGTACTTTTAATACAGTTATGAGTTAAGATTCTTTTCAAATTGAAATGAGTCATTATTATTTACATTTATTTATTTTAATTTAATTAATTCGAAGAATAATGTATCCAAAAATTACTTTAACTGAAATTTAGTAAAATAATTCATTTTTGTGCTCAATCAGAAGATTTTTGAGAGAAGTCGATTGTAATTTAGCAGATAAAAAATAATTACCTGTTTAATTAACTATTCTCACTCCAATTAACTTAAGGTGTGTAATTTAATTAACATTAAAAAAGCAACATTAAAAAAGTTAAAGAGATTCTTAAGTTTTTGATTCTAAAATTTTCTTGTTAAATATTTTATTTTTTAACAAGTTCTTTTTTAGCACTCTTCCAAAAACTTTTTGAAAAAAGTGCTTATTAGTTTCCCTCTGTCCGTCCGTCCGTGGAAATGTTTACAAAACTTCTACACCCTTGAAGATAGAAAGCTGAAATTTAATATGTGCATAAATCCTTACTAAAAAATATTTTACCTATCTCCTCCTCTTTAAAAGCTATAGCCCGGAAAACCCTGAAAATTTCATTTTCTAACTATTTGTTGCAGTGAAACCATAAGCATATTTTGTAAATTTTGCAAGCGCAGAAAGTCAGTGGCTTGCTTCTGTTATCGCGGCATACTATAATTAAATTTTAAAAAAACAAAATGGCCGTTAAAATTTACCGTTATTTAAAATCCATTTTTTCCAAATTTTTGATGTCGTTTTTTTTCTAGACCCTCGGTAGTAGGACCCTAAAATTTTGGCAGCAGTTAGACATTAATAAATAGTTTTTTTCGTTAGAAAAAAATTTTTTTCCATCTCCACCCCTTCTTAAGTTGTCACCTTTTGAAATTTGTAAAATTTGAATTTTTGACACCTTGCGAAACGACAAGCTTTTTCAAATTTCTATAAACGCAAGAAGCTAACGTAAGAATTAACCCTTAAAATCGAGTATTATGTAAACCCCTCTTAATAATTTTAATTTTTGCTTTATTTCAAAGACTGCATAAATCGTTCATCCTAAATATATAGCAATCCTGGTATATGAATGAAAATAATTTTAATGGTATGTTAGGTATACACAGACTGCATTTAAAAGCAGTATTTTCACTAGTTGCAGGGAAAAGTGCTAAAATACAAACCATTGGTTTGACCCAACTTTATTAAGAATTCTAATTCATTATTGTATACAATATACAATAGTCAAATCAAATAATAACTATAATAAAGCTATTTTTATAGCTGAATCATAAAAGGACTATTGTGATTATTAATTATAAAATATGATTTGTAAAGTGGCAGCTTTTTGACAATAAAGATTGGAGAAAAAGTTTAATTAATTTTAAAAAAATCTTTAAAAAGCCAGAAATTATTTAAAAAAAGAAATTAGAAAAAAATTTTTGAAAATTTTAAAATGATTGTTATGAAATTCGATATAGATTTTCGGCGTGCCGTAAAGAAAGTAAGGGTATGCAGAATCTGATTTATATCAATTTAATTATAAAATTAAATTATTACCCCTTTAATATATTATAAGATCAATAATAAAAATTTTGTGAATTTATTGTTAGGTCAATATATGTTGCCAAAATGGACAGCTCATTTGGCAATTTAATTTCATAATTAAAAGTCTTATTACCTTATTTATTATAAAAGTACAATTAAATTTAAAAATTTTTATTTAAATATCGAATCTCAAAAAAGATTATATTGAGAGATAAAACCTTTTTGTTGTTAAGTAATTTAATAATTACGTATATATATACTTTGTGTAAATATGTACATAGCATGTAATATTTATAATTAAATCATAAAATTTTGCATCCTTAATCAAAAATTAAATATTTGAGATACTTAAATTTGAAATTTGATATTATTTTTATTATACGATAAACAAAGTATAAGCAGTTGAGTTTTATATTACGAAAAAAAAACTCTTTTTGTTCTTTGAATTTAGATGAATAGAATGGCGAGCGCTTTAGTCTTTCTTTACAAAAGGTATATAAGCATAAACCGTTTTGCAAATTACACTTTTATTTTTGAAATGCGGGTTTCGATATGCGATTAACATTAAAACTAATTTCCTATATAGAAGAAAGTAAAATAAACTAAATTTTTTTTGTATTTTATTTTTATTGTATTCCACAGTTTATTAAATGGCAAAAAAATTAATGATAAGTAATTTTTTATTATTTTCCAAATAATAAAACCATTTCATTATTGATTTAATAAACAAAATTTTTTTTAATATAGCATGAATACAAAAGGTCATAAAATATACTCTTTTCGTGGCATTTCAATGTTATCCTTGAAAAATTTAACCAAAATTTCAAAATCAAAGTAAACTATATACCTTAGAATTACTGAATTTCCCTTCTTAGTGGTAATTGCTATACAAAATTATTGTTCCGAAAATAGCATCACGACATATTTTATAAATTTGCAAAGAAGTTATTTACTTTTTATTAAACGTAATAGTACGTACTGCCTTTACTTATTCCTAAATATTTGATTTTCTTATATGTTCAAGGGACTGAGTTGGAGTCCTTGATTGCTATTCTACTATTTTACGATTAACTATTTTAAAAGGAAAGAAAATTTCACAAAAAATATTGCATGACTTTTTACATTTTGTGGTAAACCAACTTCTTTAGCCATTTTTGCTTTTTTTACTTTTCAACACATATAACAAATTATAAGAATAAAGCAAAATATGAAAAACAAAATATATTAGTAAAATCTAAACGAGTTCATTGCCTATAAACACATTTTACTATTACTATAAATATTTTTGTATACCAAAAACCTATAAACTGGATTTTGTATTTTACTATTTTAATAAGCAAAATTAATATACGTATCTAATCCATTTCTTGTTCTTACGTCATTAAATATGATGAATTTGTGTGAATCACTATACATAAACATACACTAGTTAATATAGTTAAACACAAAAATTTTCCATAATTTCACGTTTATTACATTATAGTCGTGTATGTTATCTTTAACTTATATAATAAATAATAATATTTACTTACCTCTCTTGGTTCACTGTTACAATTTCCACTATCCTTTCGAATACGTTTAGCTGCTGATTTAACAAGTTGTTCAGCTGACATAACTGGTATTGAATTATTATTATTGATATTATTACTTAAAACAATATTATCACAGCTAGTTTCCGGCAAGCTGACATGGTAAAGGAAATTTGATAGACCGCCACTATAAATAGCAAAATAATTATAAATTTATTGAAAAATTAAAAATAAATTTATACTTGTGTGTATGCCTACATATATGAAATTATATAAAATATGTTTTTTGTTTCATCTTACATGGATATCTTACATGTATGTATGTATGTATGCAGAAGAAGAAATTAATTTAGAAAATTATTTTTAATTTTACTTGCACGTGAAATATAAATATGGAATTTCTATAACATATGAGAAAATGAAGAGAGAAGGACTAAATTATTATAAATATTATTTTCATATTAAATTATGTGAACGAAATTTCCTATTCAGTAGATTTTACTCTCCATAAACAATCCTACGGCCATAGATAACAAACAATGTTGTAAAATAAGAATAAAAATTTTAATTATAGATTAAAATTTATAAAATTTTCAAAGGTTAAGAACATCGGGTTTTGAATGTTTTTTTTTTCAATTAGCCCCCTATATTACATATTAAAAGTATTACGTACTCTAAGCTATTTAAAGTTATGTAATTGACTCCCAAATACCGGCATTTCATTCCGGTGTAAAATTATATAGAATGTTTTAATTAAAAGTTCTGCAAAAAACATACTATGAACGTTTTGTGTACTTACAATTTTAAAAATTCATAAAATTAAAAATTTATAATTATCTTATAAAATATTGAAACTCCAGAAACGATAAATGTGCTTCTTCTTCATTTTCTGCAAAATTTTACAAACAATAATTACAAAAGATTGCAATTTATTTTTTATGAGGCAAATTTTACATACTCGTAAGATATGCGTGCTAAATATCTTTTCAACAACTTGGAAGAAATTTTTATTAAAAGAAATGAAGAATTTTTCTTTTGTTCAAAAAAAATATTTCCTTTAAAAATCTTTACCGTTAAGGTCAACGGGATATAAAAGGTTATATAAAAAATAAGGTTCATTCTAAGCATACATAATATGTATGTCGTAATCTGGTGTAATATATTAAACATTATTTCGCAATCAGTTGCTTCTTTTGTTGTAATACACAAAAATAATTTCCCTCACCCTCACATACATCCTTCTTCCTTTGTTACGACTTTCTATTGTTTTCTTTTTGTTCATTTTACAGCGTCATCACAACATTGCGAATACACCATTATGCATAACATATTTAAACATAATAATGTAGATATACATGAGTGTATATGAATATTGAATGAATCATAGAAGCAACAACAATTTTGCTATTATAATTTTATATATATATACATACATACATGTTGCAAAATTTAATAATAAGAATAAAGTTAATCTTTATGATAATTTTTATAGTCGTCCTTACCTAATTCTTTTTAACTTAATATCTTTAGCTGTTATAGATTTCCATTGTCCTGTTAAATAATCACGACAAATTCGTGCTGCAATATCTCTCATTTCCTCAATTGTTGCCTATATAAAATAATGATAAAAATGATGGTTAAAAATTTAAGAATATTTTAATGGTCATTTAATGCAAAATTTTTAATATAAAGAATGTAGAAAAAAAAAATTTTACATTTTTTTTGAAATATTTGTAAATATTTTCACCATAATTTAATTTTTTGATAAATTTCATGATTAATTATAATTTTCTATATATGTACGTGTATATATTCTATGATTTTTTTTTTGATGAAATTATTAAATCCTTTTTAGGATAAAAATCCTGCTTTTTTTGTTCTATTCTTTCTTTTTTATTGTACTTTGGAATATAAACGATTATTATTTAATATTTTATTTAAAAAAAAACACAGAATCAATAGTCTTTTAAATTTACAGTCTTAAGAAATTTTTATTGCAATTTTTTAATTTGATAAGGTTAAGAGTTTTAAATATTTTTAAAAAATTTTGATTTTTTTATTTTAATTTTAAGCTTTTTATTGAGTGAACTGCTTCAGTGAAATTCTCGAACTAATTTCATGTACAAGAAAAATTTAGAGGAAAATCGATATGCATGTATTAAGTAATACGAAATATTTGAGAGAAGAAGATACATAAAATGAAATGTGTACACTGCTGTTCAAAAGAAAATTGAACACTAACAAGTCCCTAGTTGATTAAAAATTGTTACTTATTTATTTTTGGATTTGAAATCTTCGAAAAATACGGCAATAATACACAAGTTTATGTATTTGAATTGTTGAGCTATTTTGTAGTCATTGATATTGTATGTTAAGTCTTTTATATGGGGAAAACAATTGGGCTGCGTCTAAAAAATTTAAATCTACAAGTTGTCCAATAATTTTTTTACACCAATGTATATGAATATTTTAGTTAACTACAATAAAAAAAAAATTTCCTGAGATAAAAATTAATGCGCAGGTCGTAAGCTTTTTTTTTATTTCCTTCATTCAAACCATATTTTACAGTGAAAATAGGATTTTAGTTACAATGTAACTAAACTTGCGGTATTATTTTGTATAATATAGACTAGACGATGTATAAACATACATATATATATTATTATAATACTCAGTAATTATTGTATTATTATAGATATTTAAACAAATCTGTTCAAATAATAAAAGTACATATAATTTGATATTATTAATGGAAGTTGGTTAGGTATAGTTATAGGTATTTAATTATAAAACTTGGGTAATAAAAATTTAAAACTCTTATATTGAGATGAAAGATCATTTAAAAATTTTTTACAGTTTTAATATAACTAAATTTTAAGTTATTGCTATTAATATTTTATTAAAAATTGAATATTTTAAGAGAATTTATTTTTAAATATTTGAAACAGTATTGAGAAAAATTTTAAGATAATTACATATTCACTACTAGGCCGAATATATTTTATTAAATTAGCAAATTAGTATAATGATTTGCTTTCTAAACGCAAAGCCTACATGTTATAGTGAAATTTTAAGAAGAATAGTTCTAATGTACTTAATAATTTTTTCTAATTTTAAGATTTTCCTCCCATAATCTTAAAAAAAATTTAATCATTACATTGGAAAGAGTATATTTCTTTTTAGTATGATGGTTTACCTGGTATTTCATATGCGTATTTTTCCTACATAATGCGACACAACGAGGATTGCATAAGTCTCTTCCTTTACAATAAATTTGTATTGTAACATTGATCGTGTGTTCTATACATGATACATTTATACCGACATTAATTTCAAATACATTTTCCCTACATTTTTCAAAAATAATCCGAAAATATTTTTAAATTGCCATAATAGATTTTTATTTTCATAAAATTTACATACATTTTAAATTTATGAAGAAGATATTAAGCATTCTTAAGCAAATTTTTTAAAAACTTTTTGGTGAATTTCTCCTTTCATTCTCTCAATGTTTGTATACATAAGTACATATATATTTATTATAAAGAGCCCAGTCATAATCCACCTGTTGAATTAAAGTTTTATCTATTGGAATTTAATTATATGTGTATATATGATTATTGTTTATATACTTGAATATATGTATATACTACATTAGTGCACTAGAGTCTATCCTGCAAGCTTTCTTATACCATATACATTATACTAAAAATTTAACAATTGAATTCAACTGTTTTACATGTGTACATATGAATTTCAAATAAAAGTTTCGAAATTTTTAATATACATATTTCAATTTTTATTATAGAAAATCTTTGTCAAATGAAAAATTGTCCTACGAAATGTATTAAATTTAATTAATTAAAAATTTAATTAAGCAATAACGATTTTTAAATTTTATAAGTAAGATTTAATTTTTTGTTAAATCCAGTTTTATTATTTTCAAAAGTAAAATACGAGTAGGTACGTAAACAATTTAACAAAAAGCTTATTTTCCAAGTATATAATATGTTAGTAGGTGTACATAAAGAATTTCATCGTTATATTTCGAAATTACTTATTTAAATTTTATACTATCTCATGAACTTTTTGATTTTAAATATTAACTACAATTAATTAATTTGCGCAGTAGTTTTAAATGTAAATAAAAACCTTCACGCAGTATGATTTGAAAATATTTCAAAGAAAAGCACAAATTTTCTATGCGAATAAAGAAATTACTGAGAATCATTAAATTTAAAAATAAAATTTGAAAGGGAAATTCCATCAGTTAATTAATAATATTGTTGTTTGACTAGTTTTAGAACTGGGGAATTTTATTTTGATCAAGACTTGATTTTATATATATGCAGATTAAAAATTTTTTAGGGTTGTTTTTGTAAATTTAGAAAAAAATACAATTTGAGATTATAAGAAATCAAATATAGAATAAAATTTTAGTCAACATTTAAAATAATTTCTGGCAACTGTTCAATAATATTACGAATGTTGCAAATTTTGAGATGAAAATTCAAATTATGAGTAATCTACTTAATTCAACATAAAGCATTGATCACAACTCGAGCACATTTTTGAAGAAATAAGATGCGATGATGCCACTAACGTGTATACAGCTCCAAACCGTGATTTTTTTCTGAATGTATTAAGAAAAATATTAACACAAATATCAGTTTCAGTGGGGACCCAAAGAGATGAAAGAAAGGAGTATGACAATTATTAGTCCTTATCCATTCATAAGCTTTATCTAAGTTAAAAACAAAGACACCTTATTCTTACAACAAAACAACACGGTATGTTTATTAATAAATCGACTAATAATTTTTAGAAAAGATTAATTGCCCTCATATACAAATTTTTAAATATATACATATTTTGCTAACTAATTAAAATTAAATTGCTGTTGTTATTAATGAAAATACGATAAATTATTTACAAGTATGTTAATCTAAATTGAAAGTAAAATTATGATTTCAACTTGAAATTTTTGTTTTCAAAGTCTACTACAGGACAATAAACTTTAATGCTTAAAATATAAAATTATCAAAAATTTCACAAAATTTGTATACTTATTATTGTTTGCATAATCGTACAATTTTTTAACAACACTATACTTTGAATTTGAAAAATAAAATTCTTTAGTTGTGACCCTGACATTAAGGAAAGGCCAAAAATATTTCATTTGCAAAAAGAGAAAGAAAGGTATTTGCTAAAATTATACATATATACCATACTTAAAATGTTATCTAATCTTTTCGCGACATCTAAATATGATGTTTTTGCAAAAATTATATTTGAATGTAAAAATAACATACGAGTTGTAGATGTACTAAATTTACTTAAAATTATACAACAGACGCATATACATATGTATAAGTGTACATATATAAACATACATACATATTATGTATATCTAATATAATATTGCGTATAACTGATGTACATAAGTTCGCTGACTATTTGCAACTCGAGTAAGGCCGCTTCATGTTTCAAAAACAAAAAAAAAATTTAATTGTTTGCTATTAGATTGAGTAAGTACATATGTACAAATTATACGTATACGTATATGTTTAATTGTAATTAACAAAATAAAAAAATTCAAATGAATTTGAAAACAAAATTCTTAAAATTCTAGACTAAATATAAACAAAATATTTTGTATATTCAATCATATTAATCTGCATTTTTCGGAATTTGTGTATTATATCTTAAATTTTTATTCTTCCACCAATTCGGATGGGAGTATTACAGACTTTGTCTCAGATAATTAACGGGTTTCAACTACAGTTTTTTAGCAATTTTCATGAAAACCCTCGTAAAGGTCATGTCGGACCAGAAATCAAACTGAGATGATTTAAAAAATAAACGAATTTTGGTATAGGATGATCCGACTCCCTCATTTATAATTTCAATTGGCTATACATACATACATTTAATTATCATATAATTATCAATAAAAATTTTACTCAAACTTAATGCTTAACTAAATATTTTACTGATATCAAAACTTAATAAAATAAATGATTAAGTAGTAAATTCTCGGTAATTATTAATCAACAAAATTAAAAAAAAAATCTACGTCATATTTCACTTGTTCTATATTACGTGGCTAAGTATATTTGTCTGTAAGTCCAAGTATGTATCTGTTACCATTTGAACATTTTATAATTTCATTTAACATTTTTTTTTTTCAGATAATTTTTACTTTTCACATTGTTTAAATATCACGTTGTGGTAAATTCAATTAAATTTGCAAGAATTTATTTAAAAAATTCTCGGCGTTTAAGATAGTGAAATTTCTTGAATTTAGAATTGTGAGCTTTCAGTTTTTTGTACAAAAACAAAATATATGTATATTAAATTTTTAAAATGTTGTTGTTAAAAAATTGAAGTGATAGGATAGTGTTTCCTCTCCCGTATAGTCTATTTATCAACATTTTTTTTCCACGCACTCTTCAGCGAAAATTTCAGGGATTCTGGACTACTGCCACAACTTCGTATACAAAAGTTTTGTTTTATAATATACTTTGCTGACGAGTTAAACCATCTTTCTCGCCCAAAACAATGTTCATTGGTGAAAATTCAGCTTTAAAGCTTAACTTCATCATATCA